AGGCCCAACACCTTGGCACACTGGAGAGCAGCCATGGTTTCGTGATAACCCCACTATCTAAGCTATTCAAATGTGCAGCGAGCTGGATCGGCAATGAAAAATGCTGTTGCTGTGCCGAGGGCTACGCAGCTCGCAGGTGTAAGATTCTGTGACGAAGTTAGTGACTGAAGGGCTTCACAGAATCTGAGACGTAAACAAGAAATGCTTCAGTGGGTTTGTAGGTGTTGCCTAATGTGATAGCCTTGGGATTAGTAAGCAGACTTGGCAAAATAGCTAACGAAGAAATCTGCTCGGTGCGAAAACTGTGCGAAACGAATCAAAAAATTACCACGCTGCGTCGACTACTCGTAACGGAAAGGAAACTGACGGCGACGAGGATTGACCCCGCATTCAGGACAGGTGAGCAAGGAGCTTCATCATCACTGGATGAGGCAGAAAGCCACGTTGGCTGCAGCCGAATCTGCACCCACTGATTCGCGCGGGAAGGCCGCCTCGTGCTTGAAACTCTCTTCCCATTAGCTGCGACGGGCCACCTTGCTTTCGTAGTTGGAGGTCTCGAAGCCAGTTGCCAAATCATCGCATTTGGATGTTTCGTCACCCAATCATAAGCTAAGACTTCCGAGAAATGCTGGAAAGCCCTCGGCGCCGAACGGGGACTGTTGATCCAGTCGCCTTCCACGACAGCACGTTACAGGCTGGCGGAACTTCTGGATGTAGCCAGATCAGCAAAACCTTCCAAAAATCTAGCATCATATACACGTGCTAAATGCAACTTGCTCCCGTAAGCACTGCTTCAATACACTTTCAGCATTACATATCAAGGACCCACAAGAAATGCAGATTGAGAAGATAAGATACACTGCTCCTATAAAATGCATACACACATGCTGCTTGTACTAGCACAGCGACTCCTTTCAGTTATAAAATTGTCCAAGACAATGCATTCAAGTACTTGTTCTCTTGTCAGAAGCACTATTGCCCACTGCCATCATGCTGCCTCTTGCTCCTCGCCCTTCTTTCCTATTGGTTCGGCTTGTTTTGGCAGCATGTGCACGATCTAGGGATCTCTGGGCGGCAGACACAAGATACTCCTCCAACCTGAGCACATCCGCACCCTCACTAGCGGACAAAAAGGGAACAGTAGACTCACACAAGGTGACAAACGCAGAGAAAGGGGCAGCACGAATCCCAAGCGAAACCATCTCCTTTGCAACTGCTTCACTCTCTCCCAACCTCTCCCCTCCAGCCCCCGTCTTCCCTCCACCACCACAACTGCCACCGCCACCACCGGCGCCTCTCTCACGCCTTGCCCCTCCCACTAACGCTCGTCCCAGCCTTCCCATAACCTTATCCAAATTCTCCACATCCCTCTCCTTGCCACTCCCAAACCGCACCAAGGCGGCACCGCTATCAACTGGATCAAGCTCCAGGGGAGTGTTGCGGCCCAGGGCTCCCCGCAGGAGGAAGCGCAGGCGCTGGTGGGGGAGGGACGGGGGCAGACCCCACAGGAAGAGCACGTTGGAACGATCCTCCTCCTCCCCGCCACTGCCGCCGCTGCTGGGGGTAGTGGTAGTGGTGGTGATGCTGGTGGTGGAAGAAGGGGGTCCAGGAAAGCGAGTGTCTAGGGAGGCGAGGAGGGGGGCAGCACGGGAGCCAATGGCAGCGTGCCCCGTGGCAAGGTCCAGGTGGATGTCCCGAGCGCCCTTGCCTATGAGGGTTGTGATGTTGGATAGCCCAGCCACTATTGTTTCTGCTGCTGAAAGTGATGACATGGCTGGTGTCGCTCCTGATTCCGATGCTACTGCTGATTGAGCTGATTCTGATGCTGCTTGCCCTGATGCTGCTGCTGATAATGTTGGCGTTGCCGCCACTGCTGCCCTTCCTTCGCTGCTCTCTTCACTGTGCTCCCTGTCAGTCTCTATCCTCCCACTCACAACCCCCTCTCCTCGCCTCCACCTCTCCACCACCCATCTCCTCCCTTCTTCCTCTCTCCCCCACTCCCCTCTCCTGAGCCCCTCCCCCTCTCCTTCCCTCCCTCTCCTCTTCTCCTTTCTCCACCTCCCCACTTCCTCCCTAGCAGCTGTGGCAGCAGTAGCAGCAGCAGAGGGGAGGGAGGAGAGGCGGTGGGGGGGGAGGCCAAGGCGGTGGCAGGAATGGGCGAACACCACTCCTGTCATGAACGCATCGTATGCTGCCTCGTGCCTTGGATCCTGGCCGTTGGATGAGGAGTATCTGACGGTTCAGAAAGGTTGGAGGGGGTTGGATGGGAAGTTGGTAGGGGAGGGGGTTTGGGGAAAACCACGGCTACAAATAGTGGGGAGGTGGCATACCTGCAGCTACATCACTGGCTCCCATCCTCGTGTGATAAGTCGATTTTTGAGTCGACTCAAAAACAGAAAAGTGGGGAGACCTGCAGCTACATCACTGGCTCCCATCCTTCCCTCTACTCTCTCTCATCCTCCTCTCCTCTCTCATCGCCCACTCCCCCCCCCCTTCTCACCCTCCACTCACTACCCCTTCTCCATCTCCTCTCATCCTTCTCTCCGCCACCTCCCTCACTCTCCTCTCTCACCCTCTTCTCTCACCCTCTTCTCTCACCCTCCTCTCTCACCCTCCTCTCTCACCCTCTTCTCTCACCCTCTTCTCTCACCCTCCTCTCTCATCTCCGCCGCCTCCCACCTCCTCTCTCACCTCCCTTGCCCTCTTCTCCCCCCTCTCTCTCCTTCCATATACACCCTGTCCGTCCTCTCCCCCCACCTCTAACCCCCTCCCCTTGATTCACCTACCAGCCTTGTGACTGAACCGCACCTATGATAGCTGGCCTTAACTACTCTAATCTCACCTCTCTCCCCCTCCCCTGAGCGTATTTGGCAACTTAGATCCCCTCTCCCCAAAACTTTATTCCCTCCCTCTACCTCCTCACCTGGCTGCCTCGTGACTGAACCGTGGGTATGATAGCTGGTCTATCCTACTCTACTCTCCCCTCTCTCCCCCCTCCCCTCTCTCCCCCTTCCCCTCTCTCCTCCCTCCCCTCTCACCCTCTTCTATTCCCCCTCCACCTCCTCACCTGGCTGCCTCGTAACTGAACCGCACTCGCATGGGCGTCCCATCCACAAACGGAAGGTTCCTGGAAGTATCATACAGTGCACCGAGCGACGCCCGCCTGTTGGTGCTGGCAGCTTCCTGGAAGGTCACGGGCAGAGACAGGGATGCAGTGGGTTGCAAATGCAGTGAGGTGACTTGTGATTCAACTCAAAACCACCTCACACATCTAAAGAGGCCATGTTAGATCGTATGTGCACCATATGCCGCACACACTCAATGCAGAATCGATTTTATGAGAATTCTCTGAAGGAGCCTCGTATGATCGTATCTGCACCATATGCCTTGCCTCACACAGTCAATGCAGAAGCAGCGAGGCAGGTGGTGTCCCAGAGGACATGGAAGAGCCAGGTGACCTCCCTAGCAGAGTGATAAAAGTGTTTTCTTAGAGATGTCTCAAAAATGCTCTTCTATCCCAGAAGGCATGGAAGAGCCAGGTGACCTCCCTAGATTTGAGTCGACTCAAAAAAAGGCATAGAAGAGCCAGGTGACCTCCCTAGCAGAGTGCACGGCAGCACAGTCACACGCACCCCTTGCATGCTTCCCACACACAATGCACAGCATCACGGACACGCACACACACACACACCATCCCTCACACACACACCACGCCTCACACGCCCAACAGACCTGTGCTAGAAGCGAGGCAGCAGTGAGGCAGGTGGTGTCAAAGAGAGCGGGGAAGAGCCGGAGAACCTTGCGAGAAAAGAGTGCTGGGGAGGGCGAATACAAGCATAGGAACCACTACGAGCATGCCACACCACCTTGCACCACATTGTACCACATTCCACCACCTTGCACCACATTGCACCACCTTGCACCACATTGCACCACATTGCACCACATTGCACTGCACGAACCTGTGCGAGAAGCGAGGCAGCAGCGAGGCAGCTGGTGTCAAAGAGAGCGGGGAAGAGCCAGCTATAGCTGCCTTAGCATTGCGGTAACGCCACACACACCAGTGCGAGAAGCGATGCAGCTGGTGTCAAAGAGTGCAGAGAAGCCGGCGGACATCCCGAGAGAAGAGTGCAGAGCAGCACAGTCCCACGCACCCCTTGCATGCCTCACACACTCAATGCACAGCACACGGACACACACACCATCCCTCACACGCACCCCTTGCATGCCTGACTCACCAATGCAGGGCATCACACCCACCTGCGCTAGAAGCGAGGCAGAAGCGAGGCAGCTAGTGTCAAAGAGGGCAGGGAAGAGCCGGAGAACCTCGCGAGAGAAGAGCGCTGGGGAGGGCGGCACTCGACCCACAAACTTGTGGAGAGTGTGGGAGAGGTCTGCGTGGGAATGGGAGGCAGGGGGAGGGACGGATGGAATCAATGGGAGGACGCCGATGCTGTAGGTGAGAGGTAGGGCAGCTCTCAGCCTACAAACTTGTGGAGAGTGTGGGAGAGGTCTGCGTGGGAATGGGAGGCAGGGGGAGTTGGAACCGATAAGCTCAAGCCTCCTTTCAAAAGTTCAAGATACTGATGCTGAGAGGGAGGGGGGCACGCGGCCCACAAACTTGCGGTGAACGTGGGAGTGATCTGCGTGGGGATGGGAGGCGGGAGAGGAAGAGATGAGGGAATGGGAACGGGCGTCGGCAGCGGAAGGAGAGGATGTTGTGGTTGAGTGGAGGGAGGGGCGCCAGGCACTCGGCCCACAAATTTGTGGAGGATGTGAGAAAGATCTGCATGGGGAGTGGAAGGGAGACGATATAAACGGAAGGGGCGTAATGCGTAGGCAGCAGAGGGTTTCGATGCTGTGATGCTTGACTTGAATGGGACGATGATGTATAAGGACGTGGCCGGCGGCACTTGGGCCACGCAGTTGTGGAGAGTGTGTGAGAGTGTGTGAGATATGCGTGGGAATGTGGGGCGAGTCAACACTGGGAACGGATGAACTCAGCGGGAGGGCAAAGATGCTGCTGCAGGTGAGAGGTAGGGCAGGACGTGGCCCTCAAACTTGGGAGAATGCGAGAGAGATCTGCGTGGGTGGGGGACGGGTAAGATGGGAACTCCGTAGGTACTGGAGCGAGATGACGCTGTGCTATGGCAGCAAGGTGGGACGTGGCCCAAAAACTTGTGGAGAATGCGAGAGAGACCTGGAGGGCGAGATGAGACCTGGAGGGCGAGATGAGACCTGGAGGGAGAGATGAGATCTGGAGGGCGAGATGAGATCTGGAGGGCGAGATGAGATCTGGAGGGCGAGATGAGATCTGGAGGGCGAGATGAGATCTGGAGGGCGAGATGAGATCTGGAGGGCGAGATGAGATCTGAAGGGCGAGATGAGATCTGGAGGGCGAGATGAGCTCTGGAGGGCGAGATGAGATCTGGAGGGCGAGATGAGATCTGGAGGGCGAGATGAGATCTGGAGGGCGAGATGAGATCTGGAGGGCGAGATGAGATCTGGAGGGCGAGATGAGCTCTGGAGGGCGAGATGAGCTCTGGAGGGCGAGATGAGATCTGGAGGGCGAGATGAGATCTGGAGGGCGAGATGAGCTCTGGATTGCGAGATGAGCTCTGGAGGGCGAGATGAGATCTGGAGGGCGAGATGAGATCTGGAGGGCGAGATGAGATCTGGAGGGCGAGATGAGATCTGGAGGGCGAGATGAGATCTGGAGGGCGAGATGAGATCTGGAGGGCGAGATGAGCTCTGGAGGGCGAGATGAGCTCTGGAGGGCGAGATGAGATCTGGAGGGCGAGATGAGATCTGGAGGGCGAGATGAGATCTGGAGGGCGAGATGAGATCTGGAGGGCGAGATGAGATCTGGAGGGCGAGATGAGATCTGGAGGGCGAGATGAGATCTGGAGGGCGAGATGAGATCTGGAGGGCGAGATGAGATCTGGAGGGCGAGATGAGATCTGGAGGGCGAGATGAGATCTGGAGGGCGAGATGAGATCTGGAGGGCGAGATGAGATCTGAAGGGCGAGATGAGATCTGGAGGGCGAGATGAGCTCTGGAGGGCGAGATGAGATCTGGAGGGCGAGATGAGATCTGGAGGGCGAGATGAGATCTGGAGGGCGAGATGAGATCTGGAGGGCGAGATGAGATCTGGAGGGCGAGATGAGCTCTGGAGGGCGAGATGAGCTCTGGAGGGCGAGATGAGCTCTGGAGGGCGAGATGAGATCTGGAGGGCGAGATGAGATCTGGAGGGCGAGATGAGCTCTGGAGGGCGAGATGAGCTCTGGAGGGCGAGATGAGATCTGGAGGGCGAGATGAGATCTGGAGGGCGAGATGAGATCTGGAGGGCGAGATGAGATCTGGAGGGCGAGATGAGATCTGGAGGGCGAGATGAGCTCTGGAGGGCGAGATGAGATCTGGAGGGCGAGATGAGATCTGGAGGGCGAGATGAGATCTGGAGGGCGAGATGAGCTCTGGAGGGCGAGATGAGATCTGGAGGGCGAGATGAGATCTGGAGGGCGAGATGAGATCTGGAGGGCGAGATGAGATCTGGAGGGCGAGATGAGATCTGGAGGGCGAGATGAGATCTGGAGGGCGAGATGAGATCTGGAGGGCGAGATGAGATCTGGAGGGCGAGATGAGATCTGGAGGGCGAGATGAGCTCTGGAGGGCGAGATGAGATCTGGAGGGCGAGATGAGATCTGGAGGGCGAGATGAGATCTGGAGGGCGAGATGAGATCTGGAGGGCGAGATGAGATCTGGAGGGCGAGATGAGCTCTGGAGGGCGAGATGAGATCTGGAGGGCGAGATGAGATCTGGAGGGCGAGATGAGATCTGGAGGGAGAGATGAGATCTGGAGGGCGAGATGAGATCTGGAGGGCGAGATGAGCTCTGGAGGGCGAGATGAGCTCTGGAGGGCGAGATGAGATCTGGAGGGCGAGATGAGATCTGGAGGGCGAGATGAGCTCTGGAGGGCGAGATGAGCTCTGGAGGGCGAGATGAGATCTGGAGGGCGAGATGAGATCTGGAGGGCGAGATGAGATCTGGAGGGCGAGATGAGATCTGGAGGGCGAGATGAGATCTGGAGGGCGAGATGAGCTCTGGAGGGCGAGATGAGCTCTGGAGGGCGAGATGAGATCTGGAGGGCGAGATGAGATCTGGAGGGCGAGATGAGATCTGGAGGGCGAGATGAGATCTGGAGGGCGAGATGAGATCTGGAGGGCGAGATGAGCTCTGGAGGGCGAGATGAGATCTGGAGGGCGAGATGAGATCTGGAGGGCGAGATGAGATCTGGAGGGCGAGATGAGATCTGGAGGGCGAGATGAGATCTGGAGGGCGAGATGAGCTCTGGAGGGCGAGATGAGATCTGGAGGGCGAGATGAGATCTGGAGGGCGAGATGAGATCTGGAGGGCGAGATGAGATCTGGAGGGCGAGATGAGATCTGGAGGGCGAGATGAGATCTGGAGGGCGAGATGAGATCTGGAGGGCGAGATGAGATCTGGAGGGCGAGATGAGATCTGGAGGGCGAGATGAGATCTGGAGGGCGAGATGAGATCTGGAGGGCGAGATGAGATCTGGAGGGCGAGATGAGATCTGGAGGGCGAGATGAGATCTGGAGGGCGAGATGAGATCTGGAGGGCGAGATGAGATCTGGAGGGCGAGATGAGATCTGGAGGGCGAGATGAGATCTGGAGGGCGAGATGAGATCTGGAGGGCGAGATGAGATCTGGAGGGCGAGATGAGATCTGGAGGGCGAGATGAGATCTGGAGGGCGAGATGAGATCTGGAGGGCGAGATGAGATCTGGAGGGCGAGATGAGATCTGGAGGGCGAGATGAGATCTGGAGGGCGAGATGAGATCTGGAGGGCGAGATGAGATCTGGAGGGCGAGATGAGCTCTGGAGGGCGAGATGAGATCTGGAGGGCGAGATGAGATCTGGAGGGCGAGATGAGATCTGGAGGGCGAGATGAGATCTGGAGGGCGAGATGAGATCTGGAGGGCGAGATGAGATCTGGAGGGCGAGATGAGATCTGGAGGGCGAGATGAGATCTGGAGGGCGAGATGAGATCTGGAGGGCGAGATGAGATCTGGAGGGCGAGATGAGATCTGGAGGGCGAGATGAGATCTGGAGGGCGAGATGAGCTCTGGAGGGCGAGATGAGATCTGGAGGGCGAGATGAGATCTGGAGGGCGAGATGAGATCTGGAGGGCGAGATGAGATCTGGAGGGCGAGATGAGATCTGGAGGGCGAGATGAGCTCTGGAGGGCGAGATGAGCTCTGGAGGGCGAGATGAGATCTGGAGGGCGAGATGAGATCTGGAGGGCGAGATGAGCTCTGGATTGCGAGATGAGCTCTGGAGGGCGAGATGAGATCTGGAGGGCGAGATGAGATCTGGAGGGCGAGATGAGATCTGGAGGGCGAGATGAGATCTGGAGGGCGAGATGAGATCTGGAGGGCGAGATGAGCTCTGGAGGGCGAGATGAGCTCTGGAGGGCGAGATGAGATCTGGAGGGCGAGATGAGATCTGGAGGGCGAGATGAGATCTGGAGGGCGAGATGAGATCTGGAGGGCGAGATGAGATCTGGAGGGCGAGATGAGATCTGGAGGGCGAGATGAGATCTGGAGGGCGAGATGAGATCTGGAGGGCGAGATGAGATCTGGAGGGCGAGATGAGATCTGGAGGGCGAGATGAGATCTGGAGGGCGAGATGAGATCTGGAGGGCGAGATGAGATCTGGAGGGCGAGATGAGATCTGGAGGGCGAGATGAGCTCTGGAGGGCGAGATGAGATCTGGAGGGCGAGATGAGATCTGGAGGGCGAGATGAGATCTGGAGGGCGAGATGAGATCTGGAGGGCGAGATGAGATCTGGAGGGCGAGATGAGATCTGGAGGGCGAGATGAGCTCTGGAGGGCGAGATGAGCTCTGGAGGGCGAGATGAGATCTGGAGGGCGAGATGAGATCTGGAGGGCGAGATGAGCTCTGGAGGGCGAGATGAGCTCTGGAGGGCGAGATGAGATCTGGAGGGCGAGATGAGATCTGGAGGGCGAGATGAGATCTGGAGGGCGAGATGAGATCTGGAGGGCGAGATGAGATCTGGAGGGCGAGATGAGATCTGGAGGGCGAGATGAGATCTGGAGGGCGAGATGAGATCTGGAGGGCGAGATGAGATCTGGAGGGCGAGATGAGATCTGGAGGGCGAGATGAGATCTGGAGGGCGAGATGAGATCTGGAGGGCGAGATGAGATCTAGAGGGCGAGATGAGCTCTGGAGGGCGAGATGAGCTCTGGAGGGCGAGATGAGATCTGGAGGGCGAGATGAGATCTGGAGGGCGAGATGAGATCTGGAGGGCGAGATGAGATCTGGAGGGCGAGATGAGATCTGGAGGGCGAGATGAGCTCTGGAGGGCGAGATGAGATCTGGAGGGCGAGATGAGATCTGGAGGGCGAGATGAGATCTGGAGGGCGAGATGAGATCTGGAGGGCGAGATGAGATCTGGAGGGCGAGATGAGCTCTGGAGGGCGAGATGAGATATGGAGGGCGAGATGAGATCTGGAGGGCGAGATGAGATCTGGAGGGCGAGATGAGATCTGGAGGGCGAGATGAGATCTGGAGGGCGAGATGAGATCTGGAGGGCGAGATGAGATCTGGAGGGCGAGATGAGATCTGGAGGGCGAGATGAGATCTGGAGGGCGAGATGAGATCTGGAGGGCGAGATGAGATCTGGAGGGCGAGATGAGATCTGGAGGGCGAGATGAGATCTGGAGGGCGAGATGAGCTCTGGAGGGCGAGATGAGATCTGGAGGGCGAGATGAGATCTGGAGGGCGAGATGAGATCTGGAGGGCGAGATGAGATCTGGAGGGCGAGATGAGATCTGGAGGGCGAGATGAGATCTGGAGGGCGAGATGAGATCTGGAGGGCGAGATGAGATCTGGAGGGCGAGATGAGATCTGGAGGGCGAGATGAGATCTGGAGGGCGAGATGAGATCTGGAGGGCGAGATGAGATCTGGAGGGCGAGATGAGCTCTGGAGGGCGAGATGAGATCTGGAGGGCGAGATGAGATCTGGAGGGCGAGATGAGATCTGGAGGGCGAGATGAGATCTGGAGGGCGAGATGAGATCTGGAGGGCGAGATGAGCTCTGGAGGGCGAGATGAGATCTGGAGGGCGAGATGAGATCTGGAGGGCGAGATGAGATCTGGAGGGCGAGATGAGATCTGGAGGGCGAGATGAGATCTGGAGGGCGAGATGAGATCTGGAGGGCGAGATGAGATCTGGAGGGCGAGATGAGATCTGGAGGGCGAGATGAGATCTGGAGGGCGAGATGAGATCTGGAGGGCGAGATGAGATCTGGAGGGCGAGATGAGATCTGGAGGGCGAGATGAGATCTGGAGGGCGAGATGAGATCTGGAGGGCGAGATGAGATCTGGAGGGCGAGATGAGATCTGGAGGGCGAGATGAGATCTGGAGGGCGAGATGAGATCTGGAGGGCGAGATGAGATCTGGAGGGCGAGATGAGATCTGGAGGGCGAGATGAGATCTGGAGGGCGAGATGAGCTCTGGAGGGCGAGATGAGCTCTGGAGGGCGAGATGAGATCTGGAGGGCGAGATGAGATCTGGAGGGCGAGATGAGATCTGGAGGGCGAGATGAGATCTGGAGGGCGAGATGAGATCTGGAGGGCGAGATGAGATCTGGAGGGCGAGATGAGATCTGGAGGGCGAGATGAGATCTGGAGGGCGAGATGAGATCTGGAGGGCGAGATGAGATCTGGAGGGCGAGATGAGATCTGGAGGGCGAGATGAGATCTGGAGGGCGAGATGAGATCTGGAGGGCGAGATGAGATCTGGAGGGCGAGATGAGATCTGGAGGGCGAGATGAGATCTGGAGGGCGAGATGAGATCTGGAGGGCGAGATGAGATCTGGAGGGCGAGATGAGATCTGGAGGGCGAGATGAGATCTGGAGGGCGAGATGAGATCTGGAGGGCGAGATGAGATCTGGAGGGCGAGATGAGATCTGGAGGGCGAGATGAGATCTGGAGGGCGAGATGAGATCTGGGAGGGCGAGATGAGCTCTGGAGGGCGAGATGAGATCTGGAGGGCGAGATGAGATCTGGAGGGCGAGATGAGATCTGGAGGGCGAGATGAGATCTGGAGGGCGAGATGAGATCTGGAGGGCGAGATGAGATCTGGAGGGCGAGATGAGATCTGGAGGGCGAGATGAGATCTGGAGGGCGAGATGAGATCTGGAGGGCGAGATGAGATCTGGAGGGCGAGATGAGATCTGGAGGGCGAGATGAGATCTGGAGGGCGAGATGAGATCTGGAGGGCGAGATGAGATCTGGAGGGCGAGATGAGATCTGGAGGGCGAGATGAGATCTGGAGGGCGAGATGAGATCTGGAGGGCGAGATGAGATCTGGAGGGCGAGATGAGATCTGGAGGGCGAGATGAGATCTGGAGGGCGAGATGAGATCTGGAGGGCGAGATGAGATCTGGAGGGCGAGATGAGATCTGGAGGGCGAGATGAGATCTGGAGGGCGAGATGAGATCTGGAGGGCGAGATGAGATCTGGAGGGCGAGATGAGATCTGGAGGGCGAGATGAGATCTGGAGGGCGAGATGAGATCTGGAGGGCGAGATGAGATCTGGAGGGCGAGATGAGATCTGGAGGGCGAGATGAGATCTGGAGGGCGAGATGAGATCTGGAGGGCGAGATGAGATCTGGAGGGCGAGATGAGATCTGGAGGGCGAGATGAGATCTGGAGGGCGAGATGAGATCTGGAGGGCGAGATGAGATCTGGAGGGCGAGATGAGATCTGGAGGGCGAGATGAGATCTGGAGGGCGAGATGAGATCTGGAGGGCGAGATGAGATCTGGAGGGCGAGATGAGATCTGGAGGGCGAGATGAGATCTGGAGGGCGAGATGAGATCTGGAGGGCGAGATGAGATCTGGAGGGCGAGATGAGATCTGGAGGGCGAGATGAGATCTGGAGGGCGAGATGAGATCTGGAGGGCGAGATGAGATCTGGAGGGCGAGATGAGATCTGGAGGGCGAGATGAGATCTGGAGGGCGAGATGAGATCTGGAGGGCGAGATGAGATCTGGAGGGCGAGATGAGATCTGGAGGGCGAGATGAGATCTGGAGGGCGAGATGAGATCTGGAGGGCGAGATGAGATCTGGAGGGCGAGATGAGATCTGGAGGGCGAGATGAGATCTGGAGGGCGAGATGAGATCTGGAGGGCGAGATGAGATCTGGAGGGCGAGATGAGATCTGGAGGGCGAGATGAGATCTGGAGGGCGAGATGAGATCTGGAGGGCGAGATGAGATCTGGAGGGCGAGATGAGATCTGGAGGGCGAGATGAGATCTGGAGGGCGAGATGAGATCTGGAGGGCGAGATGAGATCTGGAGGGCGAGATGAGATCTGGAGGGCGAGATGAGATCTGGAGGGCGAGATGAGATCTGGAGGGCGAGATGAGATCTGGAGGGCGAGATGAGATCTGGAGGGCGAGATGAGATGCGGAGGGGGATGCTCTGGCACGCCAGGGACAAGGCTTTGCATCGATTACTCGCCTGCTCACCCCCACATCTCTGCGCATCGCTGCAACCGCCTGTGGCTTTTGAGACATCTAAAAAGAACACCCACCAAGGAAGCAGGAGTGCGCCACAAGGGGTTTGCTTTGCTCTGGCACGCCAGGGACAAGGCGTCCACCGCCCGCCTCACCCCCACAGCTCTGCGCACCACTGAAACCACCCCCCACTGCAACCGCCCCCATGCCTTTTGATATGCCTCAAAACACCTACCAAGGAAGCAGGAGTGAGCCACCAGCGGCTTATTCTGGCATGCCACAGAAAGGGCGTCCACCACCCGCCTCACCCCCGCGGCTCTGCGCACCACTGCTGCTGCCCCTGCCTGCCGCAGCTCCAGCAGCCGCACCTGCAGTCAGGTAGCGCAGGGGAAAGCAAGCATTTAGAGGAAGGGGATGGTGACGGAATGAGTGGGTTACTGCACGTGCAGTGAAAGAGAGAATGGTGACAGAGGGACTGAGTTACTACTTTCCCTACCCGACAGTCCTCAACTGGAGTCAGTCTCCTTCCCTTGCCCATTTTTCAGTCGTCTAAAAGACATGTGTATAAAAATATACATACATATAAATATGCGTATGTATATTATACTTATAAAGTGTACTCACCTGCAGCCTCTCAGCCTCCTCCTTTGACTTGCACAGAAAGAGCCGCACTTTCTTGTACGCACCGATCCGCTCCTCATGTGACGCCAGATAGGGGTGCTTATGACGGATTGCCTGTGATTGAAGGCCCAGGCATTCGGAAAAGCAAAAGGGGGGGTGGGGAAAGAATGCGTGATTGAGTGATAGCGAGCCTAGTTTTGTCGACCAGAATGTGTCAGAGTGAGTGATAATGTCGGCGGTTGAAGGCCCAGGCATTCAGAAAAAGGGGGGGGGGGGGGGGGGGGGGGGGGGGGAATGATGGCGTGAGTGAGAGATAATGAGCCGATTCTCTAGTCAACCAAAACATGTCCGGGTGAGTGAAAATGTCGGCAGACGGGAAGGGAAAAGTATCACAGGAAGTAGATGGCAGAACTTGTGAGGTGCCTCAATCATAACTCATGTTGAAAACGATGTGACATGGCATCGGATGGGTGGCCTGTTATTGACAAACAATGGCATGGCATACCAAGGGACACGTCACCTCACCTGGTCGGCAGCGTGGCAGTTGAAGGTATCGTTGATTCGAAGGGACAGCCAAGGCCTCTTCCCCACCACTGCTGCTAACGCAGGCGATAAACCACTGCTGCTGCTGCTGCTGCTGCTGCTGCTGCTGCTGCTGCTGCTGCTCCCATCCCCTCCCACACCACCTACCGCAACCTCCCGTGCTAATCCTTCAGCACCCTCCCCAAGCACACCACTCGCAACGTCCCTTGCCAAAAGCTGCTCCTCCTCCTGCTCCTCCTGCTCCTCCTCCTGCTGATTCTCCTGTGCTGCTGCTCGGAGTTGTGCGAGCCACAGGTCAACGCGGGCCAGGCTCTTCACTGCAAACTGCACCCCGGGGAATGGCGGGCTTGACGGGTCGCTCCTGTCACTGCTGTCCCGCCACCTGTACCTGCTGCTGCTGCTGCTAATGGTAGTGGTGGTGCTGGTGCTGCTGGGGTAGGTGCTGGTGCTGGTGCTGGTGGTGCTTGTGCTAGTTTGCATGTCATTGGTGGGCTGTGCCACGTCAGCAGCTGCTTGTTGGCTGGAACCTGAGGCTATATTGGTGGCTGTTGCTGATGGGGGAGGGATCTCGAGAAACTTCCATGCGGCTTCTTCTTGCTCGTAGGACAGGTACGAGATTCCTGCAGGAATGGACGGATGAGATTGCATCGGGTTGGAGATCTGGGAAACACATGAATTGATGGATGGATGGATGGATGGATGGATGGATGGATGGATGGATGGATGGATGGATGGATGGATGACCACCACCCCCATGTTGCACTCATCATGACTCCCAGCACCACCACCCAACGTGCACGCACCCATCACCAATTACATATCAGCCATCACTTATCTTGATAACCCATAACACATCAGCCATCACTTATCTTGATCACCCATTACACATCAGCCATCACTTATCTTGATCACCCATTACACATCAGCCATCACTTATCACCAATCACCACCCACCGTGGTGCACCCAGGAGTTGAAGTCGAGGTGGTGTGCTGCCAGGAACTCTTAATGAGGACGGCTGGCGCTGGAAGAAATGAATGAGAGGCACCTTACACCACCACCCCCCACCACCCTTCACCCATCACCCATCGTTCATAGTCCGCCCCACCAGCACCCACCAGCACCGCCACCCACCGTGCTGCACCCAGGAGTTGAAGTCGAGGTGGTGTGCTGCCAGGAACTCCAGTGAGGACGGCTGGCACTGGAAGGAGTGTGCCGGCACGCCCTTAAAGCCCGGGATCTCCGACCGTGGAAACACCTTGAAGTTGAACCTGGGAACGAGGGAGGGGAAGGGGTGGGGTAGTGGTGAGAGAGGGAGAAGGGGAAGAGAGAGAAGGTTGAGCTTCAAACAGCATGGCTGACACTGGAAGGAAGGAGTGTGCTGGAACGCCCTTAAAGCCCAGGATTTCCGACCAAAGACCTTGAAGTTGAATCTGTGGGGGAGAAGGAAGGGGGTGCACTCCTTCCTACCATCATTCCACTTAAACGCGCACTTGTCTTCGTCTCACTTGAGCGTGCACACGCCATGCTGCATCGCTGGAAACTGCATCGCGCTGTGTTACACATGCAGGAACTCACTCACACGGGTACTACTCACATGAACATGCACACGCTCAGGTGCATGATGTGTCACACTATCAGGGTACTCACTTGAACGTGCCAACACTTACGAAGAATACATACGGGTGAACAGTGAACTCTCTTTTGTCTTCGTCCCACTTGAGCGTGCACACGCCCAGTTGCATCACTGCACACTGCATCGCGCTATGCCACCCGTGCAAAAACTCACAAGTGCTCACTTACACATGCAATGCACACGCTCAGATGCATGATGCATCACAAAATTCAAGTACTCACTTGAAGTGAACATGATTATACAGAGATACTCACGGGTGAACGATGAACTCTCTTCGTTCTCCGTCCCATTTGAACGTGCACACGCCTAGTTGCATCACTGCGAACTGCATCGCGCTGTGCCGCCCGTGCAGGAACCGCGTTGCTACAGTGTCCGAATCCAACGGCCGCCTGAACGACCCCGAATCCAGACCGCTCATTTCCAGATCCAGACAAACGAAGTCAGCCGCTTGCAGCGCGGGTTGGAATTGGGTTTCAAACACCTCCTCGAAGTTTTCGCGGGTTACCGAGGCTACGGTCAGGTGCGGGGGCAGGTTCGGTGGCTGGTGACGAGGCTCGGGTTTGGGTTGTGCCGAGCCTGGCAGATGGATGGTGGAGCTACTGCGGCGACCAACGACAAGCGACGTAATATCCGGCGGAAATATCGCTGACAAGTGCGTGTTAATGCGGAGTCGCGTTCCCCATAGGAAGGATGATGGCCGTGCGGGAGACGTGGAATAGGAAATCTGCCTGAGTGCTCCTATCGAGGGACGGTGCCGGAAGTGTGACAATATGGAATGAGCGGAGCGGCTGGCTGGAATGCGCGACGAGGAAGATGGGCCGGCGCGATATGAAGTGTTGGGTGGACTAGCCGGTAGAATAGCCGGCATACCGGCTGTCAGACTGAATGCGGCGCGGTGAAGTTTAAAACGGTGATGGAGTGTACTCGGAGAGATGAACGGGTAAGCCGAGGCAATTGAAGTAACGGCAGGCGATGACGTAAGTGAGCGGCACGTGCCTGATGACTTCAGCGAGTGGCACGCGATTAAAGAACGCGAGGCGATTAAAGCGGGAAAGGTGATCATAGATCCAGTCGTCAGTCGACTGCCGATCGCCCCATCACCGGAAGCACGAGCGGATAAGACTCGCGACAATATCGAGGCGCGAGAGGATTTCGATATTGGAGCACGCGAGGCTGTCAGTATCGAGGCACGCGAGGCGGAGAGAGAGCACGCCATCATTCCGAGCGCTTTCGAGCCAACCAGCCCGATCCCCTCAAATCCTCACACCGCCAGCTGCGCTGCTCTCCGCGCCTTAGACGCTAGCGATAGGACCATCTGTGGCACTATGGATCTCGAAGGACCATGGGAGAAGGCTCTAGACCAGAACAGACGCCACGTTGTGGATCAGAATGCAAGCTGCATGGGGGATTGAGGGAGCCTCGAAAAAGATGATATAACGAGCCTCGTTACTGCGTACAGTTGTAATTGTAAGAACGGTCATAGCAAGTGAGTCTTATCATGTTTCAAGTTAAGTACAGTTCAGACTCGGGGTACTGTACCGATGGCTGCCGAATGGCCGAGTCAAAGCAGCGCCGCTGCTGCTGGACCGAGCCGAAATCTGCTTTGGAAGAAACTGTTATGGATAAGCGTCGAACCTCCCCCGAACCGATAGTTTTGGTAATGCATCCCAACAGAGGGGCACAGGCTTTCTTGGCTTGGGAAAGCACCCCAGCCGGAACTCTCCCCTCGCCTTTGATTGGCTCGTACCTTTTCAGGCCTAGGTAAGATCTCTTGGGGAGGTGCGGTAGTCGGACCCGAGCCCGAACCAACGTGTGCTACGGCATTTTGCGACGCACACCGCAGGCAAGCACCCTGTGCTATTCACAGGGGGAAAGACTCAGCGGGTGAGGGGCTTGTGGGAGTGAATGATAGGCCGTGTGCTACGCAAGGGATAATCACATTCGTTGACTCGCCCTTCTCCCAACCTGGCGTGATGGTTTGGCGAGTCGTGCGTCACACGGGGACCCACGACAACCGTCAGCTGGTTGGTTTGGGTTGGGGACCCAGCAGAGAGGTGGGGTGTGTGTGAAAGTTTGCACGGTCTCCCAGAAGCAGGAAATTCCAGTCACTGCTTTCGTCACACACCTCAGTCACGTCTCTCTGTGAGTAGAACTTCAGAAAGAAACTCATAAATTCCCTGCTTTTCCCGCGTTCTCTTCGGAGAGTGTGCTTGGATTTGACGCAGCGGCAGCGGTGTTCCTGCCGACCAAGCCGTATATTATAATAGGAACACCGTCCGCTCACGCATTGCCCGTCAACCCTTCCGTTTCTTCTCTTAACGAGTACTCGGAGTTGTCGCAGCGAGAGCGGCAGCGGTCCTGCTGACGAAACAGTTCACATAGCATTATCGTCCGCTCACGCGTTCGCGTGAAACTTTCGTGTTTTTTTCCTGTTGTGCGGAGAGTTTTCAGTGAGTCCGAAGTCACTTGCAATAGAAACTCGCTTTCCCGTCGAACCCTTCCATTTGGTTGTGCGGAAAGCTCGGAATGGGTTGGAACGCGCCGCGTCGTCTCGTGGTGTCAATATCTACGTTATTTGTCGCCGCGCTTCTCGTTACCATACCTCCGAGGGTCTCTTTTGCGGCCACGGACCCCGCTCAAGGTAGGGAGTTCCCACTCTCGTTGACATAATCCTCCCGTGAGTGATGAGTCTGTTTTTGAGTCGACTTTAAATAGACTCAAGGTAGGGATATCCCACTCTCGCTGACATAATCCCGCCTCGTATTTTACGACGGATTTGCTATTTTTCCGCAGGTGGTGCATTCGGCAGTCCCCATGCTGTTTTCGACAATCCCTATTCTCCTCTCGGCAATCCCTATTCTTGTACCAACTTCGATTGCCTTTATCACCCCTATATTTCTCTGCCATGCCTTCACCCACCCACTCTGCCTTCGCTTCACCCCTGCAGTGGCCATTTTACACCAGATTGCGGGCATGGCGAACGCCAGCAACGCGCTCTTCAACTCGTGCACGGGCAAAACCCGTGCCACCCACCCCTATCTACTATCTATCACACTGAGATTCCATTCCTTCAGTCCACTGCCATCCCTTCATGCCATTCTACTGCAGCTTGCGGGCCTGGGGAACGCTAACGGCGTGCCTTTCAACACATGGACGGGCAAAACCCGTAACACCCACCCGTATCTACTATCTATCACACTGAGGTCCATCCCTTCATTCCACTGCCATCCCTTCATCCCCACGCAGTGGCCATTCTACAGCAGCTTGCGGGCCTGGGAAACGCTAACGACGCGCCCTTCAACACGTGGACGGGCGGCGACCCCTGCGGGGCGGCATGGGATGGCGTCAGGTGCACTGCTGGCGATGGCGGTTACGACGTGGTTACCGAACTGTGAGTGTCACCGTGAGGGTAGGTTTCCCGAGTGAAGCTGCTAGTGATGTTTGAGTTGACTCGAGAGTCCCATGCTGCTTGGGACGGCGTCAGGTGCTCTACTGGCAGCGGCGGTTACGATGTGGGTACCGAATTGTGAGTGCTATTGTGAGGGTAGGCACGTAATGCAGCTGTGTGTGCAGTGCAGAGGCTAGCGAATTTTGAGTTGACTCAAGAGTCACGTGCTGCTTGGGCCGGCGTAAGTTGTTTTGCTGGCTGGCGATGGCAGTTACGACATGGTTACCGAACTGTGAGTGTAGCTTGGTTGAGACTGGTGCGAGTGCGATTGTAGCTGAAAATGCGGATTGTAGCATTAGTGTATGTGCGACTGCAGCGGTGATGTAAGTGCGAGTGTAGCGTTAATGTAAGTGCGAGTGTAGCGTTGATGTAAGTGCGAGTGTAGCGCTAGCGTTGATGCATGGTGTGAACTAGAGTGCACTGCTTTCTTGTGGTTTTTCCCCTTCCTCATTTCGACTCTGTCGCGTTATTAACACTTAGCTGGCAACTAAGTGTGAATACCACAGCAGCCAAGGTGAGGGTGTACTATAGTTTACCGTTTTTGTACTCTAATTTCATTTGTGTGCTTGGAATGTATTGTACTGCAGGGCCGAGTAGCTGGGGAATTCGAGGTGGTTAATGGGAGGCGAATTTAAGGTGGTTGGTGGAGGCGAATTCAATGCCAGCCTGTGAATTTATTTACGAAGTCATTAGGCTGGAAGGCGAATTCATTGTCAGTCTGGCGAATTCAATTCGAATTCACCAGATTGGAAGGCGGTGCATGCCTAGTGGGCCCAGTGGGAACCCAGCTAGCACCTTGGAGACCTCGCGAGCAGCTCGGCTGACTCGCTTGGTGCACAGCTAAGTGTTAATAACGCGACAGCTGTCGTGAATCCTCCTCTGCAAACTCTCATTCCCACTCTCCCGTGAATATTCAACTGATTACTCCTCTCCTTCCCTCCCTGTCACCCGCATAGCTGGCCAGATTCATCTCTTCTTCCTCCTAATATACGTAATCACCCTGTCCTGTACGCCTCATCGTATCTCAGGCTTCCCTGCCTCCTCCCGTGTCTTAGCGCTCATCCCCGCCGCTCGAGTTACGGGACCCCCTGCCTGAGGCTTCCCTTATCCCGCCCTGGCCACGTTGGGGACGTGCTTTTTGATGGTCTCCCCTCGAACATCCTCCAGCACTAGCACTCACGTGTCCATCTTTATCTTCAGAATTACACTTGGAGTGATTCATGTTGCCTTGCAACAACGTGACCTTGTTGAGAGGAGATATCTTTGGCTTTTCCATCTTTTGCAGCAGCAGGTGCTCCTTGTTAGCCAACTCGCTCTTCAGCGCCTCACATTCCTCTGTGAGGTTGTGAATTTGATCACACAACATGGAGCGCTCCATCTCTTTGGCTGACGAGTGTCCTTCGGCTTCGAACCTCAGAACGACAACCAGAGAGACGGGGCGCTCCATGTTGTGTGATCAAATTCACAACCTCACAGAGGAATGTGAGGCACTGAAGAGCGAGTTGGCTAACAAGGAGCACCTGCTGCTGCAAAAGACGGAAAAGCCAAAGAGATCTCCTCTCAACAGGGCCACGTTGTTGCGAGGGAACATAATCACTCCAAGTGTAATTCTGAAGGTAAAGATGGACACGGGAGTGCTAGTGCTGGAGGATATTCGAGGGGAGACCATCAAGGAGCACGTCACCAACGTGGCCAGGGCGGGACAAAGGAAGCCTCAGGCAGGGGGTCCCGTGACTGGAGCGGCGGGGATGAGCGCTGAGACACTGGAGGGGGCAGGGAAGCCTGAGATACGAGGAGGAGTGCAGGACAGGGTGATTACGTATACCGGGAGGAAGAATGGATGAATCTGGCCAGCTGTGCGGATGACAGGGAGGGAAGGAGAGAAGGAGTAGTCAGTTGGATATTCACGGGAGAGTGGGAATGAGAGTTTGCAGAGGAGGATTCACGACAACTCTTCCACCTATGTTGCCCCTACCTCCCTCCCCCGCCTCCTCTCATCGCCCTCCTCCTCTCTCCCCAGTCCACCAGCTTTCTCAAGGATGCGCAATTGACTGGTATTGTGCCCTTGAGGCGCCTCAAAAGTCGCCTTCTTTCTTGTCCCCCGCTACCAGCTTTTTTGAGGATGCCAAGGCTGACTGGCACTTTGTCTGTGGAGCGCCTCAAAGGCCGCCTTCTCTCCTCCCCCTCCTCCTCCCCTTCCCCCCTCCACCAGCTTTCTTGAGGATGCGCAACTGACTGGCACCTTGCCGCCTTCCCTCTTCGACCTCACATCCCTTCACACAATGTGAGCTCTCATCCTTTCCTTCTTCCCTTCTCTCCTCTTCTCCTCCTCTTCTCCCTTTCTCGCCTTCCCTCTTTGACCTCACATCCCTTCACACAATGTGAGCTCTCTTCCTTTCCTTCTTCCCTTCTCTCCTCTTCTCCTCCTCTTCTCCCTTTTTCGCCTTCCCTCTTCGACCCCACATCCCCACACATGACGTGAGCTCTCTTCCGTTCCCCCTCCTCCTTCCTTTCTGCTCCAATCCCCGTTCTATGCTTGCTTTCAAATCCCCCTCTCCCTCTCCGCTCACTGGCTTTCTTTTCAACTGTTATCCAGTCTCTTTCCAAACCACACTTTGCCCTTCTTTCGGCCTTTTCCCCCTGCTCCTCTCACTCCTCTCTTTCTACCCTTCCCCCGCCTGCACCCCTACAGCAACCTGGGTATGAACCCAGGGCTTCAAATCTCCCTTTGCTACGCAGCCATTCTTAACTGTCTCCCATCCCATCCCTTCCCACCCACCCACCACTTCCGCCCCAACCCTTACCCTATGTGACGGAAGACGCGTCTAGCGTCTTAGACGGTTGCGTCTAGACGCAGCGTCTAAGACGCTAGACGCATTTCAGGCCAGATTAGACGCATATTAGATGAAAACCCGGGCAGGCCTAAAAAAAACGTCCGTGCAGCGAAAAAAACCCTCTTATAGGGCGTGGAGAGGGCAGGGAGAAGGACATTGCACACACTTTAGCAAAAAGGGTTGAGGGTTTCTGAAGGAGAATCGAGTTAGCGTGTAAACCCCAAGGGTTTTTGAAGGAGACTTGAGTTGGACTAGATATGAGGAGCACAGATGAGGTGGTTGTGCTCCTATATGCCTTTGGTGGTGGTCCACAAAGACCTTAGAGGTTGCAATTTGGGTTGGGGGGTAAGAAAAGTTGGTTGGTTGGGCTGTTTTTCATTGTCGAAATGGGTGGGAGGGGGTTCAAATGTTGCGAAATAGAATTTCGCGTCGAAATCGCGAAATCCAATTTTGGCCGCGCAATTTTTTTTTTCCGGGCTGACCGAAATTTTTTTACCCAAGCGTCTAGCGTCTAAACACGCGTCTAGCGTCTAGCGTCTAGACGCTAGACGCAAGACGTGTCTTGCGTCTTCCGTCACATAGCCCTTACCCTCCTTCCCCATCTGCCCCCCCTCCAGCAACCTGGGCAAGCAAGTACCCAGGCCTGCAGGGCTCATTTACGTTGCAGCCATTCGTGTCTGTCTTCCTACCACCACCCACCACTTCCACCGCAACATTGGCCCCTTCCTACCCTTGTCCCTCCTCCCCACCCCCCCTCTCCAGCAACCTGGGCAAGAACCCGGGCCTTCAGGGCTCCATCCCAGCAAACCTTGGGAACCTCGCGCAGCTGACCATGCTGTAAGTGTATACTGTAGCGTTTTCAGACCCTTCTTCAGATTCAGCAAAATAGTCGAGCTGGGCATGTTCGGCTCAAGTCAAGTCAAAGTAGAATTTCCTGAGAAAAGGGATGCCGCAAGTTTTGTTGTACAAGTCGAGCATTTGAGTGTGTGTTCGAACCGAACGAGCGCAGAGATTGAGTTCCTTCTCCTGTCGCTATGGGGGGGGGAAAGAAGGGGGTGGTTGCGAAGTTTCACGAGATTATATGAACAATCTATACAGGCCACCCACCCACCCACCCAAAGTTGTATTTTGAGGCGTCTCAAAGGCCTTCAGGGCCCCGGTCCCTTGAGACGTCTCAAAATACAACTTTTATCACGTGGTTGCGAAGTTTCACGAGATTACGCAAACAATCTATACAGGCCACCCACCCACCCAGGTACAACCGTGCAGGATGTTTTTTGTGAAGTTTCAAAACCCAGCAGGTACAACGACGGGCATTGCGAGCATGCTGGAGTGCACAACAGCTACATTCACACAACTGAATCTTGAATACAAACGCAGTCACGCAGCAGATGCTGTGAGAAAGTGTAAGAACAACCGATAGTTTCATTAGGAAGGGCATGGGTTTACATAGTTGAGCTAGGATGTAGGAGCCATGCCAACATTATTGGCCCCCACCAATAAGTTGGGTTGAGGAGTTATTGGGGGGACCAATAATGTTGACCAAAAGTGGGTCAACATTATTGGGGGGGCCAATAATCTCCCAACCCAACCTTGGGGGCCCAATAATTGGGCCAAGGTTGGGTTCCAACCTCAAACTAGGGTAAACCCTAGTTGTGCACCCAAACTAAGTTTGGGTGCCTATCTCTAGTCAAAGCTTATATGATGATGCAGGTTACAATGAAGATGGTAATCTGACACAACCCCTTAACCTGCAGAAATCCATAGGCTTTGGAAGAGAGAACGCAACAACCCCTGAATCAGCCACCGCGGGGAGCAAGTCCCTGAAGGCGCAGGAGCGCAGAGTGGTTAGAGCGATGGAGAGCCTTGGTGAAGAGGTCAGCGAGGTTGGCGGACGAGTCGATTTTACGAACAGTGATGTGACCATCTTGCACAAGATCGCGGACAAAGTAGTAGCGGAGTTCGATGTGTTTGGAGCGACCATGAAAGACGGCCTCCTTGGTGAGGTGGATGGTACTATCGTTGTCACACCACAGGGTGGGGCAGGGCTGTGGTGAGCCAAGGTCGGTGAGAAGATAGCTAAGCCAGCGTGCCTCTTGAGCCGCCATGGTGACTGCGTACAGCTCGGCTTCGCAGGAGGAGAGGGCGACGGAGGAGGAGCGAGGCCGCTCCCAAGGGAGAAGCCATATCCTTGAGAACTGCGATGGTCCGGCTGTGCATCCGCCCAAGATGAGTCACTGAAGCCTTGAAGAACAGGTGGGTCCACACCACCAAGCGTGAGGCCATAGTCCTTTGTGCCTTGGAGGTAGCGCAGAACACGCATGGCCGCCTTCCAGTGCTCCTCACCATGCCTGCCAGTGCCAACAAACCGCGCCAGGACACTGACGGGGTATGCAAGGTCGGGACGAGTGCAGACCATGGCGTACATCAGGGCCCCAACGAGTTCTGCATAGGGATGAGGGGAGGTGACAGGAGTGGCTGGAGGGGACAGCCGATGCCCGAATGCAAGTGGTGTGGGGATGGGTTTGGATTTGGACATGCCGAATCTCTCGAGCACCTTCCCGATGTAGAATGACTGAGAGAGGGTGATAGTCTTGGCAGTGAGGTCGCGGGTGATCTCCATGCCAAGGTAGTTGCGGACTTCCCCCAGATCTTTGCAGGCGAGACGTTGCTGCAGCTCATCCTTGACCTCCTGAAGTTCAGCAGCTGTCTCAGCTGCTAGCAGCATGTCGTCGACGTAGACGAGGATGAAGAAGGGTGACGGAGTTAAGCGAAGGAAGAGGCAAGAGGCAGCACGGGAGGGGCGAAAGCCAAGTGCGCGAAGGGTGGATGAGAGTTTGGCGTGCCATTCTCGAGGTGCTTGTTTGAGCCCGTAAACAGGGCGTAGTAGTTTCCAGACGGTGGCAGGGTCGTGAGGAGCGTGGAAGCCCTTGGGACGTTCCAAGAAGATGAGTTCGTGGAGGTCGCCTTGTAAGAAGGCCGTGGTGACATCCATGGAGTGGAGGAGCATCCCGCGTCTGCCAACGAAGTCCAGAAACACGCGAATGACCGGCGGAGTGGCGGTAGGTGAGTAGGTCTCGAAGAAGTCCGAGCCATAAGTCTGTGTAAAGCCTTTCGCCACATACCGAGCCTTGTAGACAGGAGCTTCACCAGGGAGTAGTTTTACTCGGAAGAGCCACCTGCCTTTGACCACGTTGTGCTTGGAGGGGCGAGGGACGTCGAGGAAAGAGCGGTTGTGGATGAAGGCGTTGCATTCCTTGACCATGGCCTCGATCCAGAGAGGTGCGTCAAGACATGCAATTGCTTGCTCGTAGGTGGTGGGTTCGTAGATGGTGGGGGTGTTGGAGAAAAGAAGGACCGTAGTACCAGCCATGGTGCGGACGACAGGGGCGATGGTGGGTGAGAGGAGGTGGAGGAAAAGGAGTTCATCATGAGAGTCTTCATAGAGGTCCGGAGAGAGAGGAGGAGGAAGAGGAGGCGGTGAAGATGCAAGACAGCTGCGCTGGAGGGTCAGGCTGGAGCGGGAACACGGCTGCACTGCTGCTCTGCTGCGCCGAGGGTCGGGGCGAGGAGACAGCTGCAATGCTGCTCTGCTGCGCTGAGTTGCCGTGAGGGGCAGGGAGACGGGAGCGCGGCTGGTGTGAGAACCTGAGGGGCTGGTGCGGGGGAGTGGGGAAGTGCTAGAGTGGTGGAGGAGTGGAATGGATGTGAGAGACTGGAGGGAGAGGTGATTGGACCGTGGGGGACCAAGGATGGGGACTGTGGAGCGGGTGTGAGGGTAGTGACGAAGGAGCAGAGGAGGGGACGAAAGTAAGGGCCGAGATGGTGGAGGGGAAGAGGGGGGAGGAGGAGATGGGGAGGGTGGAGGTTGGGAGAGGGGAGGGGGTGGGGGAGAGTTCAGGGGGGGAGGGGATGGAGAGGGAGGGGGAGGGGGTGGGGAGGGAGGGGGGGGTCAGCGGGGAGAGGGGGAGGGTCAGTGGGGGGAGAGGGAGTTACAGCGGAAGGGGAGGGTGGGGCAGCCGGGTCAAGGATGTCCCCTGAGGAGGTTGGGAGAGAAGGGGGAGGGGGTGGGGGTGCGGGTATGACCAGGGTGGGGGGAGGTTGAAGGGGAGGGGTGATGACAGTGTCAGTCCAGAGGAGAGGACGTATGGTGAGGGGGAGGGGGTTAGGGGCGGAGGGGGAGGTGTAGTACGGATTGGCTTCATCAAAAACCACATCCCGACTACGAATGAGACGACCTGAGGGGGGGTGGAGGAAGAGGTAGTCCGGGGAGGTGGGGTTATGACCAATGAAGATGCAAGGGAGGGTGCGGGAGGCAAGTTTCCCAGCTGCACGTGAACGGTCCTCAGGGTGTATGAGAACATACGCCTTGGAGCCCCACACGCGCAGGGGGGAGATGTCGGGTTTAGTGGAGGTCCAGAGTTCGGTGGGAGTAGTGGTGGGCCGTGAGGGATGGGGGTAGAGATTAGTGAGGATGGCGGCGTGGAGGATAGCATAACCCCACAGAGAAGGCGGGCAGGAGGCATGGACCATGAGGCATCGAGCGGTCTTGGTGACCTCCCGAACCCTGCTCTCCGCCACACCATTTTGCTGAGGGGAATGAGGAAGGGTGTAGGTGTGGATAATGCCATGGGTGGAGCAGTAGGAGGAAAGCATCCGGTTAAGGAACTCACCGCCGCCATCGGAATGGAAGCGAGAGACAGGGCGTTTGAAATGGGTGCGTGCTTGTTCAGCCCAGGCAATAATGGCAGCCGGGGCCTCCGCCTTCTTGCGAAGGAGAGAGACAGTGGAGTACCGACTGTGGTCATCTACCAGTATGAGCAGGTAGCGATGACCTTGCCTGGTGGGGGTGGGATTGGGGCCCCAGAGGTCCATGTGGACGAGATCAATGGGTTGGGGAGAGAAGGAGGGATGACTCTTGTGGGGGGCTTGCTTTAGTTTGCTTTCAACGCAAACTGAGCAGGGAGGGGAGGGCGACGGGGGGAGAGGGGGGAGGGTGAGGGGAAGTCCTTCAAGAAGTTGAGAGGAGACAGATTGACGAAGGGTGGCAAAGTTGGGATGACCCAAGCGATGGTGAAGGAGGACGGCGGGATGGGTAAGGTCACGACAGTGACAGGAGGGGGAGGAGGGAGGGGAGGGGGAGGAGGGAGGGGAGGGGAGGAGGGAGGGGGGGGAGGGGAGGCAAGAGGAGGGGGGGAGGGAGGGGAGGGAAGGGGGGAAGAAGGGGAGGGGAGGAGGGGGGGGGAGAGGGGAGGGGGGAAGGGAGGTAGGGGGAAGTAAGGTGGGAGTGGTGAGTTGGTGGATGGAGGGGCGAGGGGTTGCGGTATGTGTACAGGTTTGTGTGTGGGCAGAGGGGAATACGACAGATGAAGCGACCAGTGATGGTGTGAAAGAGGTCGCAGTGAAGTGCATGTCCGGGGAAGATGGCGGTGACACCTAACCTTGGGAGGTCACGAAGTGCTACCAGATTGTTGCGTAGGGAGGGGACGTGTAGACCTGTGACTGTGCCTGAGGGGAAGATGGGGCAGGGGAGAGTGGAGGTGTGTCGACTTGTGATGGTGAAGCTGAAGTCGGCTCCGTAAATGGTGGAGGGAGTGGGGAGGGGGACTAGTGTGCCTGCGTCCCGAAGGACAGTGTGTGTAGCGCCGCTGTCAAGAATGAACTCAAGGAGTGTAGAGGAGGAGGAAGAAGCGGAATACTGGAAGGATGTCTCATTAATAGCATGGGCATACATTGAAGGAGCAGGAGAAGCAGTGCTAACATGTCCTATGAATCCAGCAGAAGGGAACGGAGTGAAGCCAGGAGGATTGGAGGAGGAGGAGGGCTGGTCAGTAGGAGTGGTAGCAGGTGGAGGAAGCACAGGGCCGTATTGAGGAGGTGGATAAGGAGGGTATGGCCAGCCGGTATAGGGCGGAGGATAGTGGGGGGGAGGGGCTTGAGGAGGAGGTGTGGGTGAAGGGGGAATGGGAGGGGTGGGAGTGGGAGGAGATGAAGGGAGAAGATGTTGAACTTGCTGGAGGATATGAGGTGGGAGATGCTCAGTGAGGACATTGTGAAGATTAGGGGTGGAGGGTTGATAGGCGGGGAGAGTGCGTATGTCATGGAGAGAGGGGCGCGGGAAGATGGTGTTCCATCGAGGTGGGGTGCCGACATTGCCACGTGCAAACCACTCATCAGTGAGGGCTTTGAAGCACGTGTCAGTGGTGTGAGTGGTTTGAGCGCAAGGCTGACCTTTGTTGGAGCCATAGCGAATGATGTACTGACACGGGGGAAGGGTACCCGAGGGAGAGGGGTTTTTGCCACGCCCACCACGGCCGCCACCACGACCACCACCGCGTCCACCGCCTCGCCCACCACCTCGTCCACCACCGCCACCGCCAGTACCGCTTGAGCCGCTACCTCCGCCGCTGCTGTGGTTGCCTGCGGGAGTTTTGCGAGCCTGGATAGCATTGATGGTGGTGGAGTCACGTTGGATGTCCGCTTCGCTGTCAAGGAGCCAGTCGATTGTGTCGGCCACAGGAGGAGGATGGCGGTACCTAGAGGTAAAGGTGATGCGGTAGGTATCGTATGTGGGTGGAAGGCAGTCGAGGATGCGTGCAGTGAGAAGTGATTCATGAATGACAATGCCGCGGTCGTTGAGACGTTGCGCAGTGTCGATGAGGCGCCGAGTGAAGGCAGCAGCAGTGGGGGATGAGTCAAGAGTGGTGTCTTGAAATTTGCGAAAGAGAGCAAGGAGAGAGCGAAGGTCCTGTCGGTCGTACTGAGTGGACAGGGTTTTCCAGAGGCCAGAGGAGGAGGTGGGGCGGAGGTCACGTTTGAGATGGGAAGGGATGCAGGAGAAGATAATGGCTAGAGCGCGGCGATCCGCAATTCGCCATGCTGCAGTATCCTTGTTGAACTTGCGAAGTTCATCAGCATAGTCTTTTTCATCCTGTGCGTAGGAGAGGATACGCGCAGTAGCATCAGCGTGAGCCTTCTCAGCAGCACGGTGCGCCTCACGCTGGATGGTGTAGGCATCGCGAAGCTTGTTGTAGTTGTTCAAGTTGGCCGCCCATCGATCTGGGTTGTCATCATGAACTGGGGCACGAGGGGGATCAGACAGAGGCTCTGGGGGAGGAGGGGCATCAGGAGGAGGAGGCTCAAGAGGAGGAGGGGGGACGGGTGGAAGGCCGTTAGGGTGCTCAAGAACTACATCAAGAAGACAGTAGTCTTGAACAATGACAGAGCCAAGGTGGGTGTGAAGTGTGTCCTCAAACGACGCCCAGTTCACGGCCGTAGTGTCATGGAGGAGTTCGAGCTTATCGATAGCTCCGAGTTCAATGGGAGTAGAGTCGTCCGCCATGAGGGGGGAGGAGGGGGGGGGGAGAGGGTGACGACACCGGCTGGAGGGCGGGTGCGGTCAAAGACGACACCACCTGGAGGGGTGGCGCGGTCACGTTGCGTGCGGCAGCGCTTCGTCACCCGCGGCTGCCCCTTGTCGCCCGCGGCTGCGTCTCGTCGCCCGCGGCTGCGCCTCGTCGCCTGCAGCTGTGCCTTGACGACACGCGGCTGCTCCTGGACGCGTCCGCAGCGATCGCCCTCGCTGGTCGCGTCCGCGGCGTCCGCCCGCGCTGGTCGTGTCCGCAGCGTCGCCCTCGCTGGTCGCGTCCGTGACGTCCGCCCGCGCTGGTCGCGTCCGCGGCGTCCGCCCGCGCTGGTCGCGTCCGCGGCGTCCGCCCTCGCTGGTCGCGTCCGCGGCGTCCGCCCTCGCTGGTCGCGTCCGCGGCGTCCGCCCGCGCTGGTCGCGTCCGCGGCGTCCGCCCTCGCTGGTCGCGTCCGCGGCGTCCGCCCTCGCTGGTCGCGTCCGCGGCGTCCGCCCTCGCTGGTCGCGTCCGCGGCGTCCGCCCGCGCTGGTCGCGTCCGCGGCGTCCGCCCTCGCTGGTCGCGTCCGCGGCGTCCGCCCGCGCTGGTCGCGTCCGCGGCGTCCGCCCTCGCTGGTCGCGTCCGCGGCGTCCGCCCTCGCTGGTCGCGTCCGCGGCGTCCGCCCTCGCTGGTCGCGTCCGCGGCGTCCGCCCGCGCTGGTCGCGTCCGCGGCGTCCGCCCTCGCTGGTCGCGTCCGCGGCGTCCGCCCTCGCTGGTCGCGTCCGCGGCGTCCGCCCGCGCTGGTCGCGTCCGCGGCGTCCGCCCTCGCTGGTCGCGTCCGCGGCGTCCGCCCCCGCTGGTCGCGTCCGCGGCGGTCGCCCGCGCTGGTCGCGTCCGCGGCGTCCGCCCCCGCTGGTCGCGTCCGCGGCGTCCGCCCCCGCTGGTCGCGTCCGCGGCGGTCGCCCGTTCTCGTCGCGTCCGCGGCCGTCGTTCGTCGCGGGTGTGGCGTCGCCCGCGATTAGGGTTTCGTCGGTCGCGGCGGTCGCCGATGCTCGTCGCGGGTGTGGCGTCCGCCCGCGATTAGGGTTCCGTCGCTCGTGCTGGCCGTTCCGACGGTCGCGCTGGTCGTTCCGACGGTTGCGCAGATCGTTCCGACGGTTGCGCGGATCGTTCCGACGGTTGGCGTGGCCGTTCCGACGGTTGATGGGTTAGTGGGAGAGAGGGGAGAGCCGCGAGAGGCGGAATTGACTGTAGAAAGGAGGGAGGGGGGCGCTGAAATTTAGCGCAAGGGGAGGGGGGGGGGCGTGACGGCGTAGGGGCGCACTAGGCGCAAAGGGCGACGTAGTGTCGCGTGAGAGAGGGGGGCGTGATATAGCACGCGGTATGTGCGGTCCTTAGGATCGAGATGGTGTGAGCCGTAGTTGCTCTGAATACCATGTGAGAAAGTGTAAGAACAACCGATAGTTTCATTAGGAAGGGCATGGGTTTACATAGTTGAGCTAGGATGTAGGAGCCATGCCAACATTATTGGCCCCCACCAATAAGTTGGGTTGAGGAGTTATTGGGGGGACCAATAATGTTGACCAAAAGTGGGTCAACATTATTGGGGGGGCCAATAATCTCCCAACCCAACCTTGGGGGCCCAATAATTGGGCCAAGGTTGGGTTCCAACCTCAAACTAGGGTAAACCCTAGTTGTGCACCCAAACTAAGTTTGGGTGCCTATCTCTAGTCAAAGCTTATATGATGATGCAGGTTACAATGAAGATGGTAATCTGACAGATGCAACACAGTTTTTGTCCCAACCATAATCGACCACCAGAAGGTCTCAACCAATGGCGAAGGACCGCAATCCTCCTCTTGTGGATCAATTTCTGTAAAGCGTGGGGGTGCTGTGCTGTGCTGCTGCGTGCTTCTCGCCGCCAGCACCCACTTGACCCACTCTCGAAGAAAGGACCACGCTGGTTGTTAACTTTGTCACCACACTGCCACGCCACACCACCACGCCACACCACCACTCCACCCTCACCCCCTCCAACTCGGTGTTTTTGACGTTTCAAAAGTTTTTGAGACGTCTCGAGAGACCTACTCTGGGACCATGCTGGTTGTTGCCTCCCCCTCCGTGGCTTGAAGCCATCGAGCTTTATTACTAGGGTTTAGGTCCTTAACTATAAGGCAGGCAAGGCAAGGAGCTCACAAGTGCTATCCTTAAAAAACGTCTCCACTTGGCTGTTCCACCCTCCCACACTCGCCCAACCTCCCCCTCCCCAGCAACCTACGGGGCTGCAGCCTTTCAGGCCCGGTGCCCCCCTCCATAGGCAACCTGCAGGGCCCCTCCATTCAATTCGTTGATTTCTTGGGGCCCCCTGTATTCCTTCACCTCCCCTCCTTTCCCACAGTAACCTGCAGGGCTGCAGTCTCTCCGGTCCTGTTCTCACTTCCATAGGCAATCTGACCCAACTCGTCTACTTCCTGGCGCCCCCTGTGTCCCTCACCTCCCTTCTTTCCCACAGTAACCTGCAGGGCTGCAGCCTTTCAGGCCCGGTGCCCACCTCCATAGGCAACCTGACCCACCTCATCTACTTCCTCGTGGCGCAGAACCTGCTTTCGGGGCCTCTCCCGGACCAGTTTGGGCTGCTGCCGAAGCTGTTTCAGATCGACATTATAGACAATCAGTTCAGCGGCACCCTGCCCTCCTTCGCTGGGGCGTCTAGTTTAGTGCACCTGTGAGTATTGATCTCTCGACCTTTCAGTTGATTCGAGTGTTAAATCACAGCCCACTAGACCATGTGAGTTGTTGCTGGGGTGAAAGGTTGGGTGTACCGACTCTTCTGTCTCTTCGTCCCCCTCTCTCGCCTTCCTCATTTCTCGATTTCAATGACGCTTTCTTTCTATGCATTCCATTATCCGTCCGCTTACCCTTCCGCTAATCTGTCCCCATAACCATTCCATACCCATCCCATTATGCTTTCCCTTCTTCCTTCCTCCTTGCAGCCCCTCCTTCCCTCCCCTCCATCCTCTTTTCCCCTCACCCCATCAGCCAAATCAAGTACTGAAACTTCCCTCAACCCCTGTCTTCCCCCACTTCCCCTCATCTCAACAGCCCTCGCCCCTCTCAGCCACATGAGTCGCAATCACCTCTCATCCATCCCTGATGAAATTGCGCAATTGCCGAGCCTACAGCATTTGTGAGTTCCCTTGCCGAGCCTACAGCATTTGTGAGTTTCCTTGTCGAGCAAACAGAAGGACTCACTGGTTCTAAAAGTTTCTTCATTTCTGTTTTCTTACTGCTGAGTGTGCAGCATCTGTTGCGTTTTTGCCGCTGCTGGCTGCGCTAGTCTTTTCTCCTCTTTTATTGTCGAGGCGCCTCAGCAGTTCTCTCCTCTTTACAGTTTCCGTATTCATACTCCTGCCTTACCTCTTTTCTCCTGCCTTACCTCTTTTCTCCTGCCTTACCTCTTTTCTCCTGCCTTACCTCTTTTCTCCTGCCTTACCTCTTTTCTCCTGCCTTACCTCTTTTCTCCTGCCTTACCTCTTTTCTCCTGCCTTACCTCTTTTCTCCTGCCTTACCTCTTTTCTCCTGCCTTACCTCTTTTCTCCTGCCTTACCTCTTTTCTCCTGCCTTACCTCTTTTCTCCTGCCTTTCCTTTCGCTTCTTCTTGCCGCCAACCACACCACACTGCGTGCGCCGCCGTGCATTTCCTCGCATCGTCCAGCCGTTCCCCCTCTTTCTCACTTCTGAGAATTCTCAGAAGTGACTCAGATATTTTGCCACCAACCACACCACACTGTGTGCACCGCCCTACTTTCCTCCTCTCTGGCAGGATTGTGGACGGCAATCGAATCGTCCAGCCATTCCCCCTCTCTCTCAACGGATCGGCTCTCAGTGTTATGTGCGTGCTTGGGTGTGCTCTCAGTGTTATGTGCGTGCTTGGGTGTGCGTGCCTGGGTGTGCGTGCCCGGGTGTGCGTGCCCGAGTGTGCGTGCCCGAGTGTGTGTGCCCGAGTGTGCATGCCTGAGTGTGCGTGCCTGAGTGTGCGTGCCTGAGTGTGCGTGGCAATGCCATGTGCTTCACTGTGCGTGCTTCAGTGTGCGTGCCTCAGTGTGTGTGCCTCAGTGTGTGTGCCTCAGTGTGCGTGCCTCAGTGTGCGTGGCGTGGCAGTGCATTGTGCGTGACACAGAACCCAGCCCTTCTCTTTCCTGCTCTGTGTTGCTTTCTTTGCCAATCCTAAACAGCCACCCTTATCGTTAGATCTTATCGTATAATGCAATGTGATGTGATGTGATATGGGCGCGCTGTTCCCCAGCCGTTCTTTGTCCTGCCAGGTGATTTTTAAGGCGCCTAAAAAATCTTATTGTACAGCGTGATGTGATGTGATGTGATGTGATGTGATGTGATGTGATGTGATGTGATGTGATGTGATGTGATGTGATGTGATGTGATGTGACGTGCGCGCTGTTGCCCAGCCGTTCTTTGTCCAAGCTGGCTAGCTGGCAGCCAGCCAGGTTGTCCCAGCTGGCTGGCTGCTTGCTTGCCTGTTACTTGCTTGCCTGTTACTTGCTTGCCTGGTTACTAATAGCAGCATTCTTTTTCCTTTATAGGACCACTCATTTACCTTGTTGCACTTTCTTTCACCCACTCCTTCGCTGCGCTGCGCCCCATCGCTCATTGCACAGTTACTGGAGTGGCAACACCATCACCGAGCCTTTGCCTTTGGTCTGGAATCTTCCAAACCTAAAGGACTTGTGAGTCCCCCCCGCCCAACCCCCCTCTCGGAAAGCATTCCCTATCTTGGAAGCCATGTGCCTTGGACTCTCCTTCCCCCAAGTCTTCCTCTTGTTCGACACATGCCTGCCTACTGCATAAGCGAACACAGCAAGCCTGGTGGTTGGTAGCTCAGGATCTGCGGCATTGGGGAGAATACGTTCCCATGCGCCCATGTTCTCTCATCATCCGTCCCTCCCTGCGCTGTGCCCCACTATGCACACACCCATTCCATCCACCATGCACTTATCTTCATCTACCCCCCTCCATCATCAACCAATCATCCACAATCATGCAGCTTGGCCAGCAACTGCAGTATTCCAACACAGATTCTGCCATCCTTCCCCCAATCCAAGGTCCTCGCCAATCTGTGAGTCCTTTTGCCAATCTGAGAGTCCTTTTGCCAATCTGAGAGTCCTTTTGCCAATCTGAGAGTCCTTTTGCCAATCTGAGAGTCCTTTTGCCAATCTGTGAGTCCTTTTGCCAATCTGTGAGTCCTTTTGCCAATCTGAGAGTCCTTTTGCCAATCTGTGAGACCTTTTGCCAATCTGTGAGTCCTTTTGCCAATCTGTGAGCCCTTTTGCCAATCTGTAAGCCCTTTTGCCAATCTGTAAGCCCTTTTGCCAATCTGTAAGCCCTTTTGCCAATCTGTAAGCCCTTTTGCCAATCTGTAAGCCCTGTTGTCAATCTGTAAGCCCTTTTGCCAATCTGTAAAGCCCTGTTGTCAATCTGTCAGTTACCTCCCCCGGCCATTATTGTGCTGCCTCCCATCCCATCACTGACTTCCCTTGCTACGTGTGATGAGTCGACTCAAAAGTCAACTCGTTGTTTTGCCGCCTGCCTCCCATGACTGACTTCTCTTGTGCCGCCTGCCTCCCATGACTGACTTCTCTTGTGCCGCCTGCCTCCCATGACTGACTTCTCTTGTGCCGCCTGCCTCCCATGACTGACTTCTCTTGTGCCGCCTGCCTCCCATGACTGACTTCTCTTGTGCCGCCTGCCTCCCATGACTGACTTCTCTTGTGCCGCCTGCCTCCCATGACTGACTTCTCTTGTGCCGTTGTCGTGCCGCCTGCCTCCCATGACTCACAGATTGCCTCCACAGGCTTCTCTTGCTACCCCTACTACCCTTACTACGCTTGCTGTCCCCTTCCTCCCTCTCTTCCTATCCCATCCTACCTTTCTCCAACCCCCCATCCCCCCCCCACCATCTCCCCCCCACCATCTCCCCCCCACCATCCCCCCCCCACCATCTCCCCCCCACCATCTCCCCTCCACCATCCCTTCACCTGCACCCCCGTTTTCCATGCTCTCTCGCATCCACCCTCTCCTCCCATTCTTCCCATTCTCTCCCCAACCCCGCACAACCCCCAACCTTCCTCCCCTCCCTCTCCTCTCCCCCATCTCCTCCTTTGTCTCTTTCCCGCGGTCGCATTCTCCTCCGCCTTCCGACTCTTCCCTATCCCCCCACTCATTCGCAGCAATTTTTTTGTTTAGACGCCTCAATAATCTTCTCTGCCTCCCGACTCTCCCCTATCCCCCCACTCTTTCGCGGCAAAAATGCATGGCAAAAACGCGACATTCATCACACAGATTCGTCAGGTCCCTCCCTTGCCCCTGGCCCCATGGAGGCACCCCCGTTTTCAATGCCTCTGGCCCCATGGAGGCAGACCAAAACGGGCCCCTTGTCTTCTCTTCCCCGCTTCCTCCTTCCAGAGACCTGAGTCGGAACAACTTTGGAGGGTCTATTCCCGGTTCTCTCTTCACAGACAACCCCAACTTGGTCAACCTGTGAGTGCAGGATGTCCGGGAGGGAAGTCATGTGACTAAGTGCAGCCATCAAGTAGACCAATCAGCCTGTGGGAATGGAAAGAACCAGTTAGTGACTGGCTGCTGGTTACCACGTGTAGTCATGTAACCGTGAGCTTGTGACTAGGAGCAGCCTCTTGAGCTGAGACGGTTATGGTTGCTGCAATGCTCTTTGATGCAACAAGCACAAGATTCCAATCTGGGTTTAAGGCGAGGAAAGAAAGAAACATGCGATTGCTGGTCTGGTAGTTGTTTCCGATCAATGTGGTCACTTCAACTTTGTAGCAAACGTGCTGAAACACGTTGACATTCTACTCACTCTCTCCCTCCATCCCCTTTTCCCCTCTGGCATGCCCCACCCACCCCTCCATCCCCTGATCCTCTCCATCCCAACCCCCCTCCATACTCCCTCTCCAACTCTCCCCCCCTCCCCCACAGCAACCTCGCCAACAACGCTCTCGAGTACGCCCTCCCTGCTGACATCAACCTAGCAGCCAACCTGCAATCGCTGTAAGCCAAGCTACGCCGCCTCACTTGCTTGTGCGCCTCCTCCTCCTAGGCGGCCAGGTGACTGTTGAGTCACCTCGCTCTCGAGTACGCCTCCCCTGCTGACATCATCCTAGCAGCCAACCTGCAATCGCTGTAAGCCAACCTCTGCTTCCGCCCCTGCTTGTACACTTCGCACCTGTGCAAGGCGAAACCTTTGTCTGCCTGCCTGCCTGCCTGCCTGCCTGCCTCCCTCCCTTCTTTCCCCTCTGCCTGTTTATGTTCTTTCCTCTCCCCCCCTCCTTCCGCCTCCCCACCCACAGCTTCCTCTCAGGCAATCGCCTCACAGGAAGTCTGCGGGAACTCACAGGCCTCAGCAAGGCCGCCTCGCTCTCCTTTTTAAGACATCCTCCTCTCCTCCTTCTCGTGGAGCCCCAGGTTGGAGCCATATCTTTACGTGGTTGGGGCTCCATCGGACTCTAAGGCCTCAGCAAGGCCGCCTCGCTCTCCTTTCTAAACAATCCTCCTCTCCTCGTTCTCGTCCCTGTGTGTACCCTCACCCCCCTTCCTCTATCTCACAGCTTCCTCTCGGGCAATCGCCTCACAGGCACGCTGCCGGACCTCTCAGGGCTGAGCAAAGCAGTGTCACTCTCTTTTTACGACAACCTCCTGACGGGCCCTCTGCCCCGCCTCAACCGCTCCGACATCACGCTGCAGTGAGTGCCCTCCCCTCACTGACATCACTCTGCTCTGCACTGCAGTGAGTGAGTGGTGCCTTGGTCGGTTCTCAACAGCTGTTTTGAGTCGGGACTCGGTCCTCCTCAGCAACAAAGCAGTGTCACTCTCTTTCTACGACATCCTCCTCACGGGCCCTCTGCCCCGCCTCAACCGATCCGACATCACGCTGCAGTGAGTGCGCTCTCTTTTGTGCATCACTCTACAGCACTGCACTGAGTGACGTCTTAATCGACTCGCAGGAGTCCCTCTGAGTCCACTCAAGTCTCAACCTCCTCTTGGGCTCTCTGTTGTAAATCTTATATTCTATACAACATCCATAGGCTACATTATAGGGTGTAGTCATTTGTTCTATAGGGGGGTTGATGGGTCCAACGACAACTTGTGGTTGGTCAAGATTGGATGTCGTCCTTGGCCCTTGGTTGGCACTTACCAACCCTTGGTCCTTTACTCCGCCAATCTCAACCAACTCACAGTGGTGGTTGCTTGGGGGGCTACAAGCAAACTCACCCATTGGCCAACTTAGTGGCCAATAGCACAGCATCTCTTTGCTTAGGGTGAGCTTTTTTACACTCATCTCTTGCTCAATATAAAGCTCTTGGCTCAATACTCAATGCAACTTGCTTCCTAAGACTCTCCCCAACATCAACCGCTCTGATGCCACGCTGCAGTGAGTACCCTCCGTTCCTGACGTCTCTCCCCCACTCTCTCCCCTCCCCCAGACTATGCGGTAACCCTCTCTGCTCGCCCTACACCAATGAGAAGCAAGCCCCCTGCTCCCCCCCAGCCGACCTCACTCAGTACACTGCACCCTCCTCTGCCAGGGCTTCGCCTGCCAGCCAGACGACCTGTATGCACAGCCCCCACCTCTGCCAGGCCCACCTCCTTCTCTCAAGCACACACTTTTTCCCTCTCTTCCCCAACCCCTCCCTCCTTCCCCACCTCCCCACCCTGCCCATCCCCTCCCTCCAGGCTATACGGCAACCCCCTCTGCTCGCCCTTCACTCCTGAAAAGCAAGCCCACTGCTCTGCTCCCCACCAGCCGACCTCACTCAGTACACCGCGCCCTCCTCTGCCAGGGCTTTGCCTGCCAGGGGGACCTCTACAGCCCCAGCTGCGCCTGAGGCAGCTCTGAAGCACCCTATTTTTCCCTCTCTTCCCCATCCTTCTCCTCCTTTCCCCCTTCTCCCCGCCCTTCCCTCTCCCCCTCCCCCCAGGCTATACGGCAACCCCCTCTGCTCGCCCTTCACTCCTGAAAAGCAAGCCCCCTGCAGCCCGCCAGCCGACCTCACCCAGTACACCGCGCCCTCCTTCTGCCAGGGCTTCGCCTGCCAGCCAGACGACCTCTACAGCCCCAGCCAGCCGCTCTTCCTGCAGTCCAGCCTCTGCATCTGCGTGTCGCCGCTGCGCGCTGACGTGGCGCTGTATCTGTCGTCCTACGTGGTGTTCAATCAAGCGCTTGTGGACCGACTCGAGGAGATTTTATTTCAGGAGCTGGTTGGTGGCAAGTTTGGGCTCAATATCACCAAGTCGCAGGTTAGTTTCTGGATGTCACAAGGTCTGCAGGCATCACGATTCCGCCGGCCCCGAAACATTATGCCACACACCCCAAAACGGGTTCTTGAGACGTCGCAAAACACTTCTTTTATCACGTAACTGGTTGTTGAGACGTCGAAAAAAACACTTTTTTTTTTTTTTTAGTCGCGTGACTGGGTGTTGAGACGTCGCAAACATTTATCGACGATGAAGTCAAGATTCCTTTGCTTGCTTTGTTTCATTCTCTCCAATTCTTTGTCACCTCCTCTTGAGGCGCTTCAAAAGTAGTGCTTGCTGTGTTTGTTTCCCCTTCTCCAATTCTTTGTCACCTCCTCTTGAGGCGCTTCAAAAGTAGTGCTTGCTGTGTTTGTTTCCCCTTCTCCAATTCTTTGTCACCTCCTCTTGAGGCGCTTCAAAAGTAGTGCTTGCTGTGTTTGTTTCCCCTTCTCCAATTCTTTGTCACCTCCTCTTGAGGCGCTTCAAAAGTAGTGCTTGCTGTGTTTGTTTCCCCTTCTCCAATTCTTTGTCACCTCCTCAATCCCCATGGCCTTCTACCGTCCCTCATGTAATGAGACAAGTTTTCAGTCGACTCAACCTCTCCCCACTCTCCTCCCCGTTCTCCCTCGCCCATTCCCGCTTTCCCCCCTCTTTCCCTTTCCCCTCAACCCTTAGTCCCCTCCCCCTACCCCCCAGGTCCTTGTATCAGCCATCAAGTGCCCATCCTCCCTCCCCTCTCGCTTCCACCTTTGCCTCCGACCACGCCACACACGAGTCCACCACCACCCCCCTCTCCATCCGCTTCTTCCCTTCCCCCTGCCCCATACCCCCGTACCCCTCCCCCTCCCCTCCCCCAGGTGCTAATCTCAGCCATCAAGAGCCCCTCCTCCCTCCCCTCCCTCGCCTCCACCTTTGCATCGGACCACACCACTCACGAGTCCACCAGCACCGTCACCATCCTCTTCTTCCCACCCGTCGGCGACGACAGCTGGTACCCGCGCGACCTCCCAAGGGGCATCAAGCAGGCGCTCTCGCTGCGCAACACCGACCCCACACAGCAGATGAATTTGAGTGAATTCGGGTCGATTCTCTCCGTGCACTTCCATGGCCCCGCGCGTGAGTTAGCTGCTTCCCTCGTGAGTTTCGGGTCTATTCTCTCCATAACTGTACCCTCGTGAGTTTCGGGTCTATTCTCTCCATAACTGTACCCTCGTGAGTTTCGGGTCTATTCTCTCCATAACTGTACCCTCGTGAGTTTCGGGTCTATTCTCTCCATAACTGTACCCTTGTGAGTTTCGGGTCTATTCTCTCCATAACTGTACCCTCTGAGTCTCGGGTCTATTCTCTCCATAACTGTACCCTCGTGAGTTTCGGGTCTATTCTCTCCATAACTGTACCCTCGTGAGTCTCGGGTCTATTCTCTCCATAACTGTACCCTCGTGAGTTTCGGGTCTTTTCTCTCCATAGCTGTACCCTCGTGAGTCTCAAGTCTATTCTCTCCATAACTGTACCCTCGTGAGTTTCGGGTCTATTCTCTCCATAACTGTACCCTCGTGAGTCTCAAGTCTATTCTCTCCATAACTGTACCCTCGTGAGTTTCGGGTCTATTCTCTCCATAACTGTACCCTCGTGAGTTTCGGGTCTATTCTCTCCATAACTGTACCCTCGTGAGTTTCGGGTCTATTCTCTCCATAACTGTACCCTCGTGAGTCTCGGGTCTATTCTCTCCATAACTGTACCCTCGTGAGTTTCGGGTCTATTCTCTCCATAACTGTACCCTCCTGAGTCTCGGGTCTATTCTCTCCATAACTGTACCCTCGTGAGTCTCGGGTCTATTCTCTCCATAACTGTACCCTCGTGAGTCTCGGGTCTATTCTCTCCATAACTGTACCCTCGTGAGTTTCGGGTCTATTCTCTCCATAACTGTACTCTCGTGCGTTTCGGGTCTATTCTCTCCATAACTGTACTCTCGTGAGTCTCGGGTCTATTCTCTCCATAACTGTACCCTCGTGAGTCTCGGGTCTATTCTCTCCATAACTGTACCCTCATGAGTCTCGGGTCTATTCTCTCCATAACTGTACCCTCGTGAGTCTCGGGTCTATTCTCTCCATAACTGTACCCTCGTGAGTCTCGGGTCTATTCTCTCCATAACTGTACCCTCGTGAGTCTCGGGTCTATTCTCTCCATAACTGTACCCTCGTGAGTTGGCCAGGGTGCTGCGTCTGTTCTGTGGGGTCGGGGGTTGTGAGGCGCTGTCGCTGTGCGTGTGTGTGTGTGTGTGGGTGTGTGTGTGTGTGTGTGTGTGTGTGTGTGCGCGCGCGCGCGCGCGTGTGTGTGTGTGTGTGTGTTGTATTTCCTCACCTTCTTTCTTTGCCACCACTCTTGCCTCGTGAGCTGAACACAGCCGCCAATGAGGCTGCCTCAGTGTCTTTCTATCCCTGTCCATCTCCCCTCTTTCAATCAAACCCCACCCAACCAACCATTCCACAGCTTACAATCCCGCACCGCAGCGGTCCTCGCCAGGGCTGGCTGAGCACGGGCGCCATTGTGGCCCTCTCAGCCAGCCAGCCAGCCCTGGCAAGGGATGGCGCCATCGTGGCCTTCTCAGTGTGCTCTCTCCTCTCTTCCTTTTCACCCATCGCCAGTGTTTCTTTCCCCTTCGTTCTCCCTCTCAATCCACAGCCTGCCATCCTCCAGCGGCGCAGCAGCCCTCGTCTGGGTTGATCACAGCTGCCATCTTGGCCATCTCAGCGTCCCCACTCGTCCCCTTTGTTTTTCCCTTCGCCTGCGTTTCCTTTCCCTCCTTTCCCTTCTTTCTCCCCTTCACATCACAGCCTACAACCCCCCATTGCAGCCGGCCTCGTCGGGGCTGAGCACGGGTGCCATCGTGGCCATCTCTGTGTGCTCCGCTGCTGTTGCCATCGCCCTCATTGTGGCTCTGCTCATGCGCCCCTGGGAGAGGCGAGGTGAGGGGGAGGAGAGACGTGAGTGGGAGAATCAAGGTAAGTGGTTTTTGAGTCGACTCAATAGCACCCTCCTCATTGCGGCTCTGCTCATGCGCCCCTGGGAGAGGCGAGGTGAGTGGGAGAAGGGAAATGAGAGGGATAGAGAGCCGAGTGGGAGAAGAGAGGTGCGAGGAAAACTTAGGAAGCTGTTGCAAAGGTTAGAGATGACGCAGAGGCGAATAGCTGTGTCAAGAGATTCTCAGAGAGGGAAGAATAAAAGCAAGGGATGGTGAATGTAGAATGAACCCCGAGGATGGTGGACGGTTCATGGGGTGTATGAGACTAGGACTTCTGCAGGCTACGTCTATTGTCACACTGTCAAGAACAAGGTTCATGACAAGGTTCATGACAAGGTTCATGACAAGGTTCATGACAAGGTTCATGACAAGGTTCATGACAAGGCTCATGACAAGGTTCATGACAAGGTTCATGACAAGGTTCATGACAAGGTTCGTGACAAGGTTCATGACAAGGTCCATGGCAAGGTCCATGGCAAGGTTCATGGCAAGGTCCATGGCAAGGTTCACACCTCTTCTGGTCATGACGCAGAGCAGCAGTATGATAGGTCGCTTTAGGGTACCCGATTGTGCTCAGCACTATGCAGAACTCAGTTCAAGGAATCAACATGCAGCATGTCCGTTGACACCTCCTCCCACCTCCTTACCCCTACTCCTCCCTTCCTTCATCCCTCTCCCCCATTCTCCTTTCCCCCTCTCATGTTGGAGCAATGTGGACTACGAGGCATTGGAGGGCATCAACCTGCAGCACGCGCGGCGCTACTCCCTTGCCTTACCATGGCACTCAGTCATCCGCTCTCCCCCCCCCCCCCCGTTGACAGGGTGGAGCAATGCGGACTACGAGGCGTTGGAGGGCATCAACCTGCAGCACGCGCGGCGCTACTCCCTGTGGCAGCTGGCGGAGGCCACCCATGGCTTTGATGACTCCGCCGTGCTGGGCAAGGGAGGGTTCGGCACGGTAGGTGTGAGAGGGAATGGTAGGTGTGAGAGGGAATGGTAGGTGTGAGAGGGAATGTTATGTGTGAGAGGGAATGGTAGGTGTGAGAGGGAATGGTAGGTGTGAGAGGGAATGGTAGGTTAGAAAAAGTAGTTTCGACCAGCAGTCCTAACTCGTCCTAATCTCCTCTAGGCTGAGCTTAGGCTAGTAGGGATTGAATAGGTAAGAAATTGTCATTCAAACCTGAGCGTATGCACGTTTCGGCCGGTGGTCTTCATCAGCGGGTGGCAAGGGAGGGTTCGGAACGGTAGGTGTGAGAGGGCGCGGTAGGTGTGAGAGGGCACGGTAGGTGTGAGAGGGCACGGTAGGTGTGAGAGGGCACGGTAGGTGTGAGAGAGTAGGTGTGAGAGGGCACGGTAGGTGTGAGAGGGGTAGTGCAGTGGTGCCATGGGATGCAGTGGTGCCATGGGATGCAGTGGTGCCATGGGATGCAGTGGTGCCATGGGATGCAGTGGTGCCATGGGATGCAGTGGTGCCATGGGATGCAGTGGTGCCATGGGATGCAGTGGTGCCATGGGATGCAGTGGTGCCATGGGATGCAGTGGTGCAGTGAGGGACTCATGAATCTGATGACTCGGCCGTGCCGGGCAAGGGAGGATTCGGCACGGTGGGTGTGAGAGGGCATGGGAGGGAGGTACTAGGTGGTTCTGTTCTGTGGTGCTGTGATCAAACCCAGTGGGTGGCCTCCCGATAATCGACCAAACGGTCCCTAATGATGTTTATTGCCAGTGCCACTCGCTCCCTCACAGCGTTACCTTGCGCAATTCTCCAAGTCAATCACCTTGCGCAATCGACTCAACGGTCCTCCCAGACAAAGCTATCCTTCCAGAGTAAAGCCAGGAAAACAGCCTTTCGCTTTCAAAACGTTACTTTCCCAAATTCTCCATCTCCCAGCGCTGTCAAAAAAGGCTCACTCGCAATGTTAAACTGTCAAAAGAACGCATTCTTTCTCTTTCACACCTACCATGCGAAAACCCCCCTTCCCCAGCGCAGCCGAGTCATCAGACTCAAAGTCATGAGTCGCTTCTGCAAGCTGCCACATTGTTGCCCTCCCCTCATGCCCTCCCCTCATGCCCTCCCCTCATGCCCTCCCCTCATGCCCTCCCATGCCCTCCCGTGTCCGATCGCCCTTTCTTCCCCAGGTGTACCGGGGAGTGCTGAACGGTGAGCCGGTGGCGATCAAGAAAGCAACGGAGAAGCGGCGGCACGACGGGGTGGATTTCAAGAACGAGATTGAGATGCTGACAGCCGTGTCGCACGGCAACCTGGTGAAGCTCACCGGCTTCTGTGTGGAGAAGGACGAGCAGCTGCTGGTGTTTGAATTCATGGAGGGGGGCGCGCTGGACGCCTGGATCAAAGGTGGGTTGCCATAAGATGCAGTGCGGTTGTGTGCGGTTGGGTGTGTGGAGCAAGGGTTGTGCTTCTGTGTGGAGAAGGACGAGCAGCTGCTGGTGTTTGAATTCACGGAGGGGGGGGCTCTTGATGCTTGGATCAAAGGTGGGTTGGCATTGGATGCAGTGCGGTAGTGTGCGGTTAAAAGTAGTGTGGTTGTGTGCGGTTGGAAGTGGGAGCAAGGGCGCTTCTGTGTGGATAAAGACAAGCAGCTGCTGGTGTTTGAGTTCATGCAGGGGGGCACGCTGAACGCCTGTATCAAAGGTGAGTGGGTTGACATTGGATGCAGTGCGGTGGTGTGCGGTTGAATGTAGTCCGGTTGTGTGCGGTGGCATCAGATGTGGTGGGCTTTGCGGTCGTTTGATTTCATGAAGGGGGGTGCGCTGGACGCCTGTATCAAAGGCACGACTTCGTGTGATTTTGTCTGAACCCTTGTTGAAGACTTTAGTCTGCCTTGCCTGTTTCAAATGTTACCGTTTTGGCTGGAGTTGAGTTCTTGGAGGAGGCATGCTGGATGCCTGGGTCAAAGGTGGGTTGCCATGGGATGCAGTGCGGTTGTGTGCGGTTGGGTATTTGATTTCTTGGAGGGGGGTATGCTGGATGCCTGGGTCAAACGTTTGCATCGTGGCAGCAAGGCTACACTGCTCTGCCCACAAACGTGGCAGCAAGGCTACACTGCTCTGCCCACAAACGTGGCAGCAAGGCTACACTGCTCTGCCCACAAATCGTGGCAGCAAGGCTACACTGCTCTGCCCACAAACGTGGCAGCAAGGCTACACTGCTCTGCCCACAAATCGTGGCTTGTCCTGTGATTTGCAACCCCGGGACTTCACATGAGCAGGAAAGACGGGGCGCGCCCTATCATGGAAGGAGAGGATGGGGATTTCCCTTGATGCAGCGAGTGCGCTTCACTACTTGCACAAGGAGATGAGGCCCGGCATCGTGCACCGCGATATCAAGGTATGACACTACACTGTGATAGCTACTAGTGATGTGCAACCCACTAGCTACTTTCTGCAATATTTATAAAAAGGTATGTGCAATCGTCTACTTGCACAAGGAGATGAGGCCCGGCATGGTGCACCGCGATATTAAGGTGTGTGTGCCACTATGCCAGGCGTACAGTAGTGTAGCTGTGTTCTATTACAAGTATATGGTACCATCCACGTTCACAGGGAGATGAGACCAGGCATCGTCCACCACGATATCAAGGTGCGTATGCTGCCATAATCACATACACACATACAGTATTAGCTATTTTCTTTGATATCTATGAGGGGCTACCATTCACTTGCATAAGGAGATGAGGTCAGCCAAGCACCATCCGCCACACCACAACATCAAGGTGTGTGCTGCTACATACAGTGTAAGAATTCATGTTCTGCAGTGTAACAGTATATGTTCTGCAGTGTAACAGTATATGTTCTGCAGTGTAACAGTATATGATCTGCAGTGTAACAGTATATGTATTGCAGTGTACTTGTGCGCTGCTATATCTTAAAAGCGCATATGCTACCACCCACCCACATGGCACATCATCCATCCACATGGCACATCATCCACCCACATGGCACATCATCCACCCACATGGCACATCATCCATCCACATGGCACATCATCCACCCACATGGCACATCATCCATCCACATGGCACATCCTCCACCCACATGGCACATCATCCACCCACATGGCACATCATCCACCCACATGGCACATCATCCACCCACATGGCACATCATCCACCCACATGGCACATCATCCACCCACATGGCACATCATCCACATGATATCAAACTGCACCACCATTCAATGGTATCTAGAAAAACGATTACGCTACCATCGACGTGTGTGACTATTGTGGCAGTGTCTAGAGGATCGTGTGCTCCCATTCATGATAACTCTTGAGACGTCCCAGTCCGCATGGCTGACGGTGTCTAGAGGATCGTGTGCTCCCATTCATGATAACTTTTGAGACGTCCCAGTCCGCATGGCTGACGGTGTCTAGAGGGTCGTGTGCTCCCATTCATGATAACTTTTGAGACGTCCCAGTCCGCATGGCTGACGGTGTCTAGAGGATCGTGTGCTCCCATTCATGATAACTTTTGAGACGTCCCAGTCCGCATGGCTGACGGTGTCTAGAGGATCGTGTGCTCCCATTCATGATAACTTTTGAGACGTCCCAGTCCGCATGGCTGACGGTGTCTAGAGGGTCGTGTGCTCCCATTCATGATAACTTTTGAGACGTCCCAGTCCGCATGGCTGAGGGTGTCTAGAGGGTCGTGTGCTCCCATTCATGATAACTTTTGAGACGTCCCAGTCCGCATGGCTGACGGTGTCTAGAGGGTCGTGTGCTCCCATTCATGATAAATTTTGAGACGTCCCAGTCCGCATGGCTGACGGTGTCTAGAGGATCGTGTGCTCCCATTCATGATAAATTTTGTGACGTCCCAGTCCGCATGGCTGACGGTGTCTAGAGGATCGTGTGCTCCCATTCATGATAACTTTTGAGACGTCCCAGTCCGCATGGCTGACGGTGTCTAGAGGGTCGTGTGCTCCCATTCATGATAACTTTTGAGACGTCCCAGTCCGCATGGCTGACGGTGTCTAGAGGATCGTGTGCTCCCATTCATGATAACTTTTGAGACGTCCCAGTCCGCATGGCTGACGGTGTCTAGAGGATCGTGTGCTCCCATTCATGATAACTTTTGAGACGTCCCAGTCCGCATGGCTGACGGTGTCTAGAGGGTCGTGTGCTCCCATTCATGATAACTTTTGAGACGTCCCAGTCCGCATGGCTGACGGTGTCTAGAGGATCGTGTGCTCCCATTCATGATAACTTTTGAGACGTCCCAGTCCGCATGGCTGACGGTGTCTAGAGGGTCGTGTGCTCCCATTCATGATAACTTTTGAGACGTCCCAGTCCGCATGGCTGACGGTGTCTAGAGGATCGTGTGCTCCCATTCATGATAACTTTTGAGACGTCCCAGTCCGCATGGCTGACGGTGTCTAGAGGGTCGTGTGCTCCCATTCATGATAACTTTTGAGACATCCCAGTCCGCATGGCTGACGGTGTCTAGAGGGTCGTGTGCTCCCATTCATGATAACTTTTGAGACGTCCCAGTCCGCATGGCTGACGGTGTCTAGAGGGTCGTGTGCTCCCATTCATGATAACTTTTGAGACGTCCCAGTCCGCATGGCTGACGGTGTCTAGAGGGTCGTGTGCTCCCATTCATGATAACTTTTGAGACGTCCCAGTCCGCATGGCTGACGGTGTCTAGAGGATCGTGTGCTCCCATTCATGATAACTTTTGAGACGTCCCAGTCCGCATGGCTGACGGTGTCTAGAGGATCGTGTGCTCCCATTCATGATAACTTTTGAGACGTCCCAGTCCGCATGGCTGACGGTGTCTAGAGGGTCGTGTGCTCCCATTCATGATAACTTTTGAGACGTCCCAGTCCGCATGGCTGACGGTGTCTAGAGGATCGTGTGCTCCCATTCATGATAACTTTTGAGACGTCCCAGTCCGCATGGCTGACGGTGTCTAGAGGATCGTGTGCTCCCATTCATGATAACTTTTGAGACGTCCCAGTCCGCATGGCTGACGGTGTCTAGAGGGTCGTGTGCTCCCATTCATGATAACTTTTGAGACGTCCCAGTCCGCATGGCTGACGGTGTCTAGAGGGTCGTGTGCTCCCATTCATGATAACTTTTGAGACGTCCCAGTCCGCATGGCTGACGGTGTCTAGAGGATCGTGTGCTCCCATTCATGATAACTTTTGAGACGTCCCAGTCCGCATGGCTGACGGTGTCTAGAGGATCGTGTGCTCCCATTCATGATAACTTTTGAGACGTCCCAGTCCGCATGGCTGACGGTGTCTAGAGGATCGTGTGCTCCCATTCATGATAACTTTTGAGACGTCCCAGTCCGCATGGCTGACGGTGTCTAGAGGATCGTGTGCTCCCATTCATGATAACTTTTGAGACGTCCCAGTCCGCATGGCTGACGGTGTCTAGAGGATCGTGTGCTCCCATTCATGATAACTTTTGAGACGTCCCAGTCCGCATGGCTGACGGTGTCTAGAGGGTCGTGTGCTCCCATTCATGATAACTTTTGAGACGTCCCAGTCCGCATGGCTGACGGTGTCTAGAGGATCGTGTGCTCCCATTCATGATAACTTTTGAGACGTCCCAGTCCGCATGGCTGACGGTGTCTAGAGGATCGTGTGCTCCCATTCATGATAACTTTTGAGACGTCCCAGTCCGCATGGCTGACGGTGTCTAGAGGGTCGTGTGCTCCCATTCATGATAACTTTTGAGACGTCCCAGTCCGCATGGCTGAGGGTGTCTAGAGGGTCGTGTGCTCCCATTCATGATAACTTTTGAGACGTCCCAGTCCGCATGGCTGACGGTGTCTAGAGGGTCGTGTGCTCCCATTCATGATAACTTTTGAGACGTCCCAGTCCGCATGGCTGACGGTGTCTAGAGGGTCGTGTGCTCCCATTCATGATAACTTTTGAGACGTCCCAGTCCGCATGGCTGACGGTGTCTAGAGGATCGTGTGCTCCCATTCATGATAACTTTTGAGACGTCCCAGTCCGCATGGCTGACGGTGTCTAGAGGGTCGTGTGCTCCCATTCATGATAACTTTTGAGACGTCCCAGTCCGCATGGCTGACGGTGTCTAGAGGGTCGTGTGCTCCCATTCATGATAACTTTTGAGACGTCCCAGTCCGCATGGCTGACGGTGTCTAGAGGGTCGTGTGCTCCCATTCATGATAACTTTTGAGACGTCCCAGTCCTCATGGCTGAGGGTGTCTAGAGGGTCGTGTGCTCCCATTCATGATAACTTTTGAGACGTCCCAGTCCGCATGGCTGACGGTGTCTAGAGGATCGTGTGCTCCCATTCATGATAACTTTTGAGACGTCCCAGTCCGCATGGCTGACGGTGTCTAGAGGGTCGTGTGCTCCCATTCATGATAACTTTTGAGACGTCCCAGTCCGCATGGCTGACGGTGTCTAGAGGATCGTGTGCTCCCATTCATGATAACTTTTGAGACGTCCCAGTCCGCATGGCTGACGGTGTCTAGAGGATCGTGTGCTCCCATTCATGATAACTTTTGAGACGTCCCAGTCCGCATGGCTGACGGTGTCTAGAGGATCGTGTGCTCCCATTCATGATAACTTTTGAGACGTCCCAGTCCGCATGGCTGACACTGTCTAGAGGATCGTGTGCTCCCATTCATGATAACTTTTGAAACGTCCCAGTCCGCATGGCTGACGGTGTCTAGAGGATCGTGTGCTCCCATTCATGATAACTTTTGAGACGTCCCAGTCCGCATGGCTGACGGTGTCTAGAGGATCGTGTGCTCCCATTCATGATAACTTTTGAGACGTCCCAGTCCGCATGGCTGACGGTGTCTAGAGGGTCGTGTGCTCCCATTCATGATAACTTTTGAGACGTCCCAGTCCTCATGGCTGAGGGTGTCTAGAGGGTCGTGTGCTCCCATTCATGATAACTTTTGAGACGTCCCAGTCCGCATGGCTGACGGTGTCTAGAGGATCGTGTGCTCCCATTCATGATAACTTTTGAGACGTCCCAGTCCGCATGGCTGACGGTGTCTAGAGGGTCGTGTGCTCCCATTCATGATAACTTTTGAGACGTCCCAGTCCGCATGGCTGACACTGTCTAGAGGATCGTGTGCTCCCATTCATGATAACTTTTGAAACGTCCCAGTCCGCATGGCTGACGGTGTCTAGAGGATCGTGTGCTCCCATTCATGATAACTTTTGAGACGTCCCAGTCCGCATGGCTGACGGTGTCTAGAGGATCGTGTGCTCCCATTCATGATAACTTTTGAGACGTCCCAGTCCGCATGGCTGACGGTGTCTAGAGGGTCGTGTGCTCCCATTCATGATAACTTTTGAGACGTCCCAGTCCGCATGGCTGAGGGTGTCTAGAG